GACACCTGCTTTCTGTTTTCCACATTTGAAACTACTGAGTCTCAGTTAACATTATGCCCGTTTGCCCAACCAGCCAGCAGGGAAGCAGATGTGTTAGTGCCAGCGTAACAAAAACAGCCATTCAGTAAACTATCTGATAACCGAAAGCATTATTTGCTTGCATTTCATTAGCTCACGTATGTACGTTTGTTCTCTCTTCAGGTGACGGATGGCAACAACCCTCTCTGCTTCTGAGGCATGACTCTGTGGACTCGGGGGTGGCCAAAGGAGGGCATGGTGGGCTGGCAGGGGGCTCGTGTTGGAAGGAAACACCCAGCTGGCATGGAGCCTCGCGGGGTGCCCAGGACGGCCACCACCACCAGGGACGCCACCCCAAGCGGGTAGGAGGCGACAGGGACAGGCAGGTGGGGCACCGGCAGCGCAATGGCAACTTTCATCCCCGCAAGGCCACCTCGTACCAGGACAAGTTTCCCAACGAGGAACGCAAAGACGGCAAGGACGACAAGCTGAAGTTCGTGGAAGAGGACTTTGTGAGTAGATAGCCATCACTGATTTTCCTGTGCATGACACTGACCTTGACATAGATACCTTGAGTCAGTGGCAAAGCTGTTTGAATTGTTAAATAAACAGGGTTCATAATACAAAGTATATTTTTAGGGAAATAGTGGATGTTCACAATGTACTTGACCTCCGATAATTAAAACCATTGTCAGAAACAATTTTCCATTTTGTCCCCATGTTTACCTTGTGATTTGTTTTTTAGCCTTCCCTCAACCCTGAAACAACTGGAAAGCCTGGGAGTCAGATGCGAGCAGTTGCTCCCCATGCTGGAGTGTGGGGTAAGAGCTCCCAGTCCACATTGTATTTAAATACTGAACAAACGAGACGGTTAAAAGTTTAAGCTCTCTTTAATCAGTTTCTTGTCCTCGCCTTTGTAACATTTCATCTCTGATTGTGTTGCAGAAAATCCCCCTAGTGGCAAACAGATGGTGTCCAAAATGCTGGTTATCAAGAAGGTTTCCAAGGAGGACCCCAGCACAGCCTTCTCTGCGGGGTTTGCCACTGCTGGCGCCTTGCCCACCAACGGCAGCAAAGCTCCCATTGCAGGCTCCAGTGTCTACAAGAACCTGGTCCCAAAGCCTGCTGTGGCCCCCACCAAAGTAAGACTCAAATTAAACAACTATCTTGATTTCTCTCTATAGACGAGCAAGATTAACTAATAAAAGCACATTTGTATAGAGTAGATAACAGGCTTTGCATACTGCATGTACCAGTCATGTGGGTGCTTTGCTGAGATGGAAGCAGTCTCTCCGTTTGTGACAGAGACTCATTATATGTTCTCTCTTCCAGAGCACCCAGTGGAAATCCGGTGGTAGAGAGATCACTAAGTCTGGCCTTCACATGCCAGGCCGAGATTCAGTCTTCACCAGCCCCGTCTCTGCAGCCAAACCCAGCACCCCAGTCAGTGCACCACAGCACAACACCCCGAAAGAGGTGAGGATAATGGGGGGAAATAAGTAACTTTAATGTCCATAACTACAACAGACATTTAAGGATTTTCCAACCCCAACAAGAACAGTATTTTTAAATGTTTAAAAGTTTTCCTAGTGAAAAAACTGCAACGCAAGCAAACTTCCAGTGTAGCAGTCGGTTTGAAACTCTTAGTTCTTATGGCTGCATTCGTGACACGTGTAGTTAGCCTGTCGCTGTGTAAGTAAATCACAGGTTTTATCTAAACATAGTAATTATGTGTTAGTGGGGTTGGTGGCTGAAACACTTACTTGCATGTGCACATGGAGTTTTTTTTCCTTTGCAGCAGTATATGCAATCTGTCTTCTGTCCACTGTATTAAAATGTTGTCATCTGTGGTCCATAGCATGGAAAAAAACAAACAATTTCAAGTTAGTTTTCTTCTTTTCCTCTCTCCCTTCCTTCATGTGTTGCTGTCGCACCTACAGCACCCTTCCAGCACGACTCCTCCCATAGACATTGCCCCGTCGAGGCTGAAGCTGATGCGCCGTGGTCCGGACCGCAAAAGTGAGTTCCTGCGAGCTCTGAAGGACGAGGGCACCGGAGAGCTGACGACAAGCAGCAGCCCAGGGACATCAGGAGAGGTAGGCAGTCGTTTGGCTCGGTTTCATAAAGCATCACACTGGACAGCACGGTACTTAGAGGCAATGACAGAGATGCTTGACAGAGTGCTGTCAAATTTAGACCTGTCCTGTCTATTTTTGAAATGAATGTCATAGTACCAGATGAGAGCCATACTATGGTCTGCACATAAACATGGGCACATTAAAGTGTGAAATCCAACAACTAAATATTCCCAAAAATCCAAAAAGATTTTGCCTTTGTTGTTGCAGTTTGCTCAAAGTTTGACTGTGTGTCAGACTGTTTTAAATTTCAATTGCGTTTTCTTGCTGTGTGAATTTTCTCAGGGTGAAAGCAGCACCCCAGAGCCCAAAGCCTACAGCGAGGAAGTCTGCCACGAGAATGGTCTGTCCTACTCCCTCAGTGACTCAGACACAGAACACCTGTCCAGCTCCCTGGAGGCAGAGCACCGGTATGACACTAACAGCCTTAAACACACACACACACACACACACACACACACACACTAACACTAACACACACACACACACACACACACACACACTATCACACACACACACACTATCACTCACACACACTATCACTCACACACTATCACACACACACACTATCACTCACACACCTCTCTCACACACACGCACACACACCTCTCACACACACACACACACACACACACACACACACACACACACAGAGAGAGAGAGAGACCATCAACTAAGCAGAAAATCACCATGCTTTTCTAGGTTGCTGAAGGCCATGGGTTGGCAGGAGTACCCAGAAAACGATGACAACTTCCTGCCCCTGACGGAGGATGAGCTGAGAGAGTTCCAGACTAAAACCGAACAGGTGAGCACTCCAAGAATCATCTCGTGTCACTGGAGTGTTCATGTCTTTTATGTATTTTATTTAATTCCCACACTAATCGTCCATGTCCTTTTGACCAGCTGAAGAGGAACGGCATGCAGAGGAATGGGGCTCTCCCGAGGGCGCGGGGTGTCACCCTCCACTTCACCCCCTGGAGGAGTGTGGCGGAGGCGAACGTCGAGGAGGGCTCCGATTCCGAAACCAGTAGCAGCAGCCAGACCTCCGACGACGACGACTGCATCAAATCCTAACGTGGCTTTACGGAACAAAAAAAACACAACAGCCAACACAACATCCCAGCAAGCAATCCCCCTCTTCCTCTCTCATCTTTGTTTTTAGAGCACCATTTTGAATTTCTTTTGTTTTGATTTTTTTGTTGTCATTCTTGCACAAGGGAAAAACCAATCATATCCCAGTGAAGGGGGAGATTCCTGCTCCGCCAGACGTCGTTTTCCCTGCGTTTCCTCCTTCACTGCAGTCCCTGCCCTCTTTGAACCCCCACCCCCCTCCCTTACTTCCTTTTTCTTCCTCGCTTTGTGGAACTGAAGTGTTCATCAAGAAAAGAAGGGCAATGAATGCACACTTGATTCTGCTTTAAACAGACTAACTCATTTCATTGATGATGCTGATGACACATTATTAATGATATTAATAAAAATTGGTTCCTGACAAGCTGATATGTTTCAATATGAATCTGGCTACTGTGGTGTTTTGAGTGTACATGTAATTTACTTTCTGTAGATCCGTTTTTTAAAGTATTGATCCTACGCTGCCTGCTATCAGCCTGAGTGCTATTATAATGAATTTGAATAGATGCAGCTACTGGGCAGTTGTACTGCCGTTGTCTTTCCCTGCCAAGAATAACAAATGCAGCACTCACTATTTTATTAGTGCTGAATATAATTGGAGGATTGAATTGTCTCATTTTTGGAATGAAAGCAGATGAATGATCTGTACGTATTTTGTGGTGCAGGAGCCTTATTTTCTCAGATACCAATGTAGTACCAAACCACATCTTTCATGAAGAGGGTCGTATTAGATATTTTTGCATTATTTTAAAATAACAAATTGGTGAATTTGTGAAAAGAAAACTGTCAACTTAATGCTTTAAAGATGAGTATTTTCAGCTATGGCTTGGATTTCATTCAGATTTTAAAACAAAGGCTTTCAATTTTGGAGGTGTCAGAAAATTATATAAAAGGATCCTTCTATGTACATAAATTCACTTTTATAGCTTTTAAAAGTTTCTCTTGATGTTATATTCAAAATTGTATAGGGCTTTTTTGCAGCAGACATTTTGACTCATTAGTAAAATCACTAGCTTTTACTAATTAACAATGACTTAATTATATTGAGGTAGTAAGCTATGACCATGAGCCAGAAACCTGATTGTGATTTACACCTGTTCCTTTACTTCTATGACAAGTAAAGATGTTCACAGTGAAGCTTTAGGTCTGTTGAAAAGAGAAAGTGATCGGCTAATTAGACCACTTCTCAGTTACATGTTGATCAGAGCTGTGCTGGGGTCGTTCTGTACTCAACCAGTATGTTCAACATACAAGTACAGTACTTTTCTAATGTCTAAAGGCTGTTTTTCATTTAAGTGTTAGTCCCAAGGCCCTCCTCTTGCGGATCCTGGTTCTGCTTTTCATGATAGAACAACTCAAAATGTCTGAGAATGAGGCCCATTAACTTCACCACAATAGGATTGGACATGACATAGCATGAACCTGTGATAACACAGTTCACTTACATGTCAAGCTTTTTAAATATCTTATCCAAAGAGGCAAATTAATGGATAAACAGACAATACAAGGTTCTACTTCAGTGGTACAAGTTAAGAGGTTTTAGTCCTCAGTCTCTGTATTAAACAGCAGCACACTGGCTCATAGGCTGAAGCTCCACACTCAAGGGACAGGAAACATTTGAACACAATCAGAAATATTTTTTGGTGCGCTATCCATCAAATTAAAGAACATTTATGTTTAGAGGCAATGCCTTCCTAAAGTCACTTGCATGACAACTTCTCCATCAAATAATATTTATTGAAATTTTATAGGTTACATATGGGAACACACTAACATTATAACAGGCATAGAAAAAGAAACACATATTTACAACAGCAAACAGGTGTAGAAACAGTGAAGTGAGCATGGCATGTTTGAGTCTCTTCTTGGGTGGAGTCGAGTGTAGCTTCACTTACTGAAAAGAGAAGAGTTTGAGTCAGACTCGGCAGCAGAAAACGATTCAACGGACAGTTCGGACATGAACTCGCCCTGATTCATTAGACTCTGGAGGTGTGATATTGTTTAAGGAGCATTAAACAGTACTGTGAAACCTCAGCATCTCTCACCTCTCGACTTCCATTTGTCCGTTAGCGTCTCTGTTGGCTTTGTCAGCACCGTTAGTCTTACCAGCGTCCTGCTTCACCTTCTTAACCACGTTCTCCTTCACTGGACTCTCATCTGATTTCCTCTGAAACACAGACGGGTTCATTCAAATGAGACTGTAACGTGCAACCACTACAGCTCTGTGAAATTCATTTTTATCATTCAGTTAGAGACACATCTGGCTGCCTTCACCTTCTTCCTGACCAGGTGGGAGATGTCAGAGACTGGAGCTTTGGAGGTGTGTCCGTTAGTAGAACTAACTCCGTTGGTTGATGTGCTGTTAATCTGGGTAGAGAACAAAAACACGACTCATTAATAGTCATTTAAAAAGTCAATCAAATCAATTCTGTGTGGACAATACAGTAAGATCATATTCTTACATACAGAGGCCCATCGCCAGTATGTACACACACACACACACCAGACTGCACTTTACCTTTGGAGCAGGTGAGGAGTTGCCATTCTGTGTAGAGGATCCTGGGAAAGCAGAGGAAGTGGAGCCTCCGTCCTGTCAGGTACACAAAATGAAGTTAGAATCAAAGTTTTATACGTCTGACCGTTACAGTCCGAGTATCTCCACCCTCCTTTCCCATCACATCTAAAGTTTACAGAATTCATTTATACTTACAGCAATCAATGCACATTGTTAGTTTCTTATCAGGCGTTCATATTAACTTTGATTGTATGTTTTGATGATTATTTAATGCTTGTTTATTTCCACAGTAAGGAATCAAGGGGAGACTATGAATGACGAGTGAACATGCCAGGAGACAGAAAATATGTCAACTGGATCGTTTCATTTCAAATATGAAGAGACCCAGAGCACCATATTTGCTTTCCATAATGTATGCAAGCATGTCCACCAGTTTTAGCTAAATAATCCCATAATGCAATGTAAGATACCATCATCCATCTATCAGTAATGGTGCAGATTGTTCAGCAGTCAACATGAAATATCACTGTACTGTTCGTTATGGAGTAGGCTGACAACACAAATGATGTCTCTTTACGTCCCTGACTCACCAGTACACCCTTCACAGCCTCAGCGGCAGTGCTCGCCGTCTTCAGCCCCTCTGTGGCATCCTCCACCTTCTCCTGGATCTCTGGCAGCAGCGTCTTCAGCTCCTCCATCTCCTTCCTCTCCTCAGGCAGAGCCTCTGGGCCCTCCGCCTTGTCTAGCAGCTCCTGCAGTTTGTCTGCCAGACACAGTGGGAATGTTAGCATACAAAAGCTTTCAGCTCCTAAGACACTGAGCATATCATCTGTAACCGACCGTGCTTACCCAGCCTGCTCTTTATGACGGAGATGGAGCTCTTCAGCTCCTCGATGGCCTTGCTGTACTCGAGATTTAAGCTGTAGGTCAGACCTAGCTGGTAGTGGGTCTCGGCAAGCAGGCGGCTGTCTGAATCAAGGTGCTTCACCTGCAGCTTCAGACACTCCTGGAAATCCTCCAGAGCTTGCGTGTAATTCCCTGGAAGACAGAGGCAGCAGCTTAGACAGCAAGACAATGTCAGACGTTGAACACGTTGGGTTTTTGATGCATGTCTGTTTGGGCATTAAAAAGGTCCAGTGAGTAGGGTTTAGTGGCATCTAGACAGTGTATGATGTGATATTATATGATTAGTCGATTGTTTAGCCTGTAAACTTTCAGAAAACAGTGAAGAATATTGTGAAAATGTCCATCAGTTTCCAGGGCAAAAACTTATTTGTCTGTTCAACAGTACAAAACATTTTATTTACAATGATGTTACAGTTAAAAGCCACAAATCCTCAAATGTGATGGCTGGAACTTGCAAATGTTTGGTTTTTATCTGATACATGACTGTAATCATTAATGATCAAAACTGTCATAACTAATTGTTTCTCAATCACATAATTAGGTGTAGAAGAATAAACTAAATCCATCTAAAGCTGCCCCCTCAGACATTTGTAAAGTGACAAAAATAAAAAAATAAAAAGTGTGCAAGACTGAAGGTCTGTTGAGCAACTTGTTCGTACCTGACTCAGCAGAAACTTCACCCAGTTTCAGGCGGGTCTGGGCTGCCATGAGCTGATCCTCTTTGTTCTCCTTCCTTATTTAAAAAAAACCCAACATCAAATCAGTTAACATGGAAGATCAAAGTCAAATTTACCAATCGGAGTTCAGTGTTTCCGTTACCTTGTGTAGATGACTTTAGCCACTTCCAGCATTTCCCAGGCCAGCTGCAGGTTCCCCACCTCCTCATCCTCACTGTCCTGAAAAACACAAACAGATTGTAAATCCGAACGTTCTCGTCATCCTGACGTACTTGAGCTGATTGGTGAAGTACCTTCTCAGCAGCGCCGTCTCCTTCGCCTTGCTCTTCTGCGTCGCCCTCCATTTCTACATCATCACCATCTTCTTCCACCTCCTCCTCCTCTTCCTCCTCCTCTGAAACATCAATAACATGATAAGTTAAGTTTGGCAACGTGCCATTACAACCGCCAGTAGACATTAACAATCAGGCTCCGTCATTAGAGATAAAACTCACCTTCTGCTTCCGCTTCCTTGTCTGCTGATTCTTTCTCAGCCTCCTTGTCGTTTACTGTCTTCTCTTCACTTTCATCAGATTTGCTTCCATTAACCTCGCTCTTCTTTTCTGTCTTCTGTTGCTCATCAGCCTTTTTTACATCACCGTTCTCTTTATCTTCGCTCTGCTTCCCTTCGACCTGCTGTAAGTCGTCCTTTTTCTTCTCTGCGTCTTCGTTCTTTTTCTCTGCGTCTTCGGTTTTCTTCTCCGCCATGGCGTCGTACACCTGCTCCCTCAGCTCATCCCTAGTCTTCTCTGTTTAAGTTAGAGAGTACAGTAAGTCCAAGCGGTTTAAACTTCTGATGTAAAAACGAATGGTCAAACAGCACAAAAACAAGCCCCATGTAGAAAGATGATTTTCTCACCATCGATGTTTTCTGTGCCATCAACGTTCGAGTCCTTGGGGCTTTCCTCCTCTTCCTCCTCCTCCGGTACTCCTTCCAGAGCATTACCCAGGACTGAGTTCTCCATCCTACAACAGCAATGTCATATTCACTATGTCAAACCACAGTGGCACAATCCTAAACTAGACTATCTATTCCTTTATTAAAACAATGACTCTAGACCGATGGGAGAAAGATTCAGACTAAGGTTCATGATCTTACCGTGCCAAATCCAACAGAGCTTTTCCACACCAGAAGAACGCCTCTCCACACTCATCTGCTGTGTCCCCGTACTTCTTAGCTCTGAAATAAGAGAAGTCAGATTCAATGGGATCATCACCTGCATGGAAGCACCACTGTTTTTAGCACATATGATACCATCATTTGCATAATTCACCATCAACTTCAATTAAAAACGAAAAAGTGCATTTTAGTTTCTAACACTGACAGTGATCACTTTCATGTAAGCTTTAAAAACAACCTTCAAAATAATCCACGCACATCTGACTTTCGGCTGGTTGTTAGTTTAAAGTACACACTTAATATAATTATTTTATACTTGAGCAGTTTCTTGTGTCTGATAGTTAACTCACAGCATGCCGCAGGCCTCCTGCAGGGCGCTCACCGCCTCCACCACCTTCCCCATCACCAGGTGCTTCTTGCCCGTGCCGATTAGCTTGTTGGCCTCCTCCATGTTAGCTACTCTGGACAGAAAGATAAAGACTTAACAAACAAAAGCCGAACTCATACAGCAGTTCAGCCCGTAAAATACTTTAAGGGAAAACTTTAACGTTACAAAACAAAGAGTCAGTGTTTCCTTACAGTGACTACTCACATACCTTGAGCGGGAAATAACGAGTGAAAGGTTAAAGGTAGAGCCTGTTGGTTTGTGTCTCAAGTCCTTCCTTCCACCGCTCAGACTGACTGCTCCGTTGTTTCAATTTGGCGCGAAATATTCCTGCCCTTTCCGGTCGATTTCCGGGTTCGTGAACCAGGGCGGGAGAACTCTTAAAGGCACAGAGCAACCGTAGAGTGCAACTTGACTACAAATGCTACTGCTAGTACTACAACTGCTACTAACTACTAGTAGTAGGACTATGGAGACCTATAGTATTCAAAATCAAATAAATATGACGTTATGAAATACTCAAAGTAACAATAATACAAAATACATAAATACAAAAAAGTGAAATACAATATTTTTTTTGGAATACCCAGCCCATAACAATGATGTTTTATTTCCTTCTGCTTCTTTTCACAGTAACAGAGTTTATTGCAGGTCATATTTATTTTATTCCAAAATGTTTTTTTTTGTTTCAAAATGTCTTTTATTAGTCATGACAAGTGGGTTAGAGTCAGTTAAATAGGTTATAGTCTGATTGGGCTATAATGACCTACAATAATCTAGGATAAAATAACTACTTATTAATGCTGAGTTGTAAAAATTAATTTAACCCTTTATGGTTATATGGCGTGTTTTGTTTGTAATAATGTATTTAAATAGTAATTAGTCATTTCAAAATGTCTTATTTATTATTTTATTTATTTACTGTTGTAGTAAGTACCACTTCTGGATGCTACAGTTTTATCAACGCTATTCACTATAATATGTATATGTGTGTATTTCTCACTTCTTAGCACGTGTGTGTTTCACTCTGTATGTACACACCCAATGGTTCACACACACACACACACACACACACACACACACAGAGCACTGCTGTCATGTCCTGCTGTGAGGGACAGGGATTGTCCAGCTCCCCTCTGAGGCCCTCCTGCTGACTGCACTGTGTGGCTGCCTCGTCAAGACAAGTCTGGACCTGGCATCCAATCAGCCTCACACAGAGACAATCCTACTCAATTCCCCCTCACACACACACACACACACACACACACACACACACACACACACACACACACACACACACACACACACTGTCATCATTACCGACAAGGCCTCAACAGCTATAATTTCCCAGTAAAATCCAGCAAAACAACTCACCACAGCTCGTTTAGTTCATTTTTTCCCAATTAGAAGCAATTGGTTTGAGTGGGGATTTATTCTCAGGGGAGTTCATTTGAAGTAAAAGCCAATATTACAGAAAACTGAAGGCTTTACTAAATATTTTTCATAGGTTGCCATAGTTTACAGTATATACTCAACCTGCCTTGTAATAGCATATTTTCATTCATTGGTAAAGAGCATAGGAGTATATTTGCATCTTTGAAGGAATAGTTTGACAGTTTGGGTAATTCACTTATTTGCTTTCTTGGCAAGAGTTAGATGAGAATATTGATACCACTCTTTTAGTCATCTGTTAAATATGAACCTGCAGCCAGCAGACTATTAGATTATCTTAACATAAAGACTGGAAACAGGGGCAAACAGTTAACCTAATGTTAAACAAAAGAGCTGGTTTGAACTCCAGAGGTGCTGGTAGGCAGTTTTAAAAACATTTTTTTGTTACCTTTAGACATGATAACCAGACTAGCTGTTTCCCCTTAGCTTTATAATTACCATACAGACACAATCTCCTCATCTAACTATTATCAAGAAAGCAAATAAGCAGATTCCCCAAAATATTGAACTATTCCTTTATTGTAATTCCATGACAATGAGACAACAGAGGAGTTGTTGTTTTTTTTTATCAAAATGTACGTTTCCTCCGAACATTTTGAAACATTTTGCAATATCCTTTGAGATCTGTTGATTGTCTTTGGTGGATGAGTTGGGGCTGATAACCAGTCCATCCATGATAAAAAAATAAAAAGCCCCACAGAACAGTGACTGCATTAATTTACCACTACTGGATCAAGAGTACCAATTCTTTGTCACAAATGTTCAGTCCTATCAGTTTAAAAGAAAACAAAGATTTTTTGCACAGCTGAAAGGGACCAGTATGATGGACACACGAGTGCCCTTCAAACATCCAGTTGCTTTGGAATCAGCAGATGCACTAATTATGTGCATATTATGAGGCAGGAGATGAACACAGGGCAACGTTTGATCACTAGCCCACCACGGTGCTTCTAACAGGAGGTTATTGTGTGTCCCCCTCTTATCTGGCCCTTGATGCGGTGCCCATGGCAACGGCATGCAAAGACGTAGCTCTGTGAGAGTGGAGAAAGGAGGCACGGTGGAGGGGCCGCTGGAGCAGATAACAGCCGCTGTCTGTGCAGGTTACATCAAACTCAGGTGAATTAATCTGAAATGCAATCTGAAAAACCACACAGGTTTCACTTATTTTCACTTATATTACAAAGGATGGATTCTATCAGATATTTGTTATAGAGTCAAGTAAGATTGGCTATAAAATCACTCATTGTAGTTGGAAATTTGGCACTAAGGTAATTAAAGATTACAAAAAATATAATTCCCTTTAGTTGACTCAATCTACTATCAACTATAAAACCCATTCAGGTAGAAAAACAATGCAGTTAGAGATGCACTGTGACTGACAGTTTGTGGCCCTGTGAAACCAGCTTTACTTCCCTTTCATTGTTTTGCCTCTTCTTGTAGATAATCGGCACACACACGGCTTGTTGTCATATGTACAGTACAGTAGGCTTGGCTGTGTCAGAGGTTTCCACTTTTATCCAACAATCTGAGGTACAGTTCACTCTTTTCAGTGTACATTTGGGAACAATAGCTATAATTAAAGGGGTAATTAACATTTTTATAAACAACTATATCCCGATTGATCTTTAGTAATTAGGACAGATGATAAATATAAAAGGTCCCACATGTCCTGTGGAGTAAACAGATATAACACCACTCAGTGTCATTAAAGAGGAAAGCCTTTATCAAACAACAGGATACTTCCTTTCAGGCCCAGGAAATCATTACTTAGGCCTTCTGTATGTAAACAGAGTTTATTTAATAAAAAAATGACCTTACTAAGGTAGTCGGCACAATATATTTTTTATCGGACAGACTCCTTTAACAGGCAGTAAAATGTCATTTTAGTCATTATAGAAACTGCTGCCAGAGTGAAAATGCCTAGACAAAAGCTGCTATTCCTCAGCCAAGTCATTAAGTAAATATAGAAGTGGTGTGGAGGAAATGAAAATGAAAAAATGCCTTCTGCAGCCCACAGAATAAGTACAGGATGTTGCAACAGTGCACCGCCCCAGCCTGTACGTCCCACTGTAAATACAAAATAGTTTAGGAGTAGGTGTCAATCCAGGAAATGTGGAGGATATTGATCTGTGCAACAGCCTACAGACCTTAATAGAAGAAAGAATATTTCCAACGTACAATAGTCTATTAATATAATCAGGTATACTGACTTTGTTCTAGCTATTTACATGTTTAAAAAAAAAAAGCAATGTGTGTGATGCTACTATTGATTTTGGGAACCTGCTATTTCTATTCTTAGCTTGGAAAAGTTCCCTCTGCTTCCTCTGAAATTACTGTAATGACATTTCTCTGCTGCAATGCAAAAACACCTGAATGAAGAACATGAGCTCATGTAATGTTTTCCTCAAGGTTGTGTGTGAGGATTTCAGTCCTGGGCTGCGGGCGACACATATCCTGAAACAGCCTGTTTGAAATCAGGTCATCACACCAAGCAAACGTGTTGATGACAATGGATTGGCTATACATCCTGAAAGAGTCATATGATGAAACCTCATGACCCCTGTGTGGCTGTAAGCTTGGACCAGGGAACTGCAAACCATTAAAAACCTGCTCTCTTTTTCAGATGAACAGATCCAGTGCTACTAATCTAGACATTAAAGATTGCCCTACATCTGACTAGTGAAGATGGATGAATTATAGAGGTAAAAGATGTCCCTCAGGGATCATTAAATGAAACTGTGAGAGTTTGAAATGAAGCCTGAAGACTATTTCTTTCTTTCTTCTTCTCCTTCTTCTTCTTCTCATCTTTAATTCTTTGAATTGATGTGATTTCACAAGAGCAAAAAAGGAAAAAGAAATTCCCAGAAGAGCGATAAGGAAAAATGCAAAGTCATGCTGTGTAGTGGGATTGTAGGACTGGACCGAAATGAGCTGTAATCACGTTCTCATCTCTTACCGCGAGAAGTGAGCGGTACTATAAATTCCCCAATCGCGGCAGTCAGCCCCCGCACTCCCCTCTCTCCTGCGTGTCCGTCGGTGTGGTATCAAAGCTGAGGTATGTGTTATAAAATACATTATTCTATGTTTTTCCTCATTGTGTTTCACAGTTTGAGTTTGTTTGGGTTTGTTAAAGTGTGCAGTTGTTCGACTTATTGGAGTTGTTTAGTTGCGTTTCTGTAGCTGAACTGTTCAACAAGTGGTTATGATTATCGTCAATGTGATCTCGTTCATTGTGAACAACCGACAAGGTTTTTATAAGTAGTAGAGTTAAGGAAAAGGAAAAGCCTTTGTAAAGTGAAGTGTTTCCACTGACAGACATGACTCACAGGTTCAGTCTCAGGAGGACATTATGACATTAAAGTGCTTCAGTTGATGTGAAGATCAGTGAAATACCAAATCATTTAACCAATGAACTCAAGTGGCCTGATAGGTCCTGATGTACCAGGAATTTGTTTCAAGAAAAAAAACTATGAAAAAGAGTAGAAAGAAGTATCATATATGCGGAAACACCTGTGGATTTAAACAAAGAAGAAGTGGAAATAGTTAATAGGTTTCAGTTGTTGCCAGTTAAAATACAGCCTGGTTACATAGCAGCGGTCTGAGCTGGCACAGATTTACTGTATTATCATATTATTATTATTATAGCCGACTTCTAATATCAATCTGTGCTATTCAGTTCTGAATTTAACAAAAACAATGTTTTCTTACAACTACATTACTGTGTATTATTACAGTATTACACGTTTTCCTACTCTGCTGTGCCACTAATATTTGCACAGTTCAATAAGAATGGTTTCACTCTGATGAAGACATTCTTCTTATCAAAACTTTATTCGCCTCACCTTTAGGGCTGCAACTAACTAAAGTCCAAGGTCTACAGATATTTTGTTTTATCGGAGCAACAGTCAAAAAACTAAGTTTATTAATGCTCAATCAAATGCTGACAGTAAAGCTGGAACAAGGTAATGTTTGGTATTGAGGAATTACCTCAAAGATCAATTCATTATCAAAATAGTTGCCCATTCATTGTGTTGTAGCACATGGTACATGCACTAGAGCTGAAATTATTAGACGGATAATTTATTTGACAATAACATTAATTAATAAACTATTTTAATGATTGGAAACATTTGCTTGACACCGGCTCCTATTTTGTCATATGATAGCAAACTTAAGATGTTAAAATATGCAACTTCAATATGTCACCATGAGCTCTAGAAAGAGGAGATCTTTCACTGTTTCAGACATTTTATAGACAAAACAATACTTCATTAATCGAGATAACAATCAGCAGATCATTATGGAAAGTCGAGAAGGGAAATTATTATCAGTTGCAGCCGTACAATGAATAGTTATTCCATATGAGTCTGAAAACTTGTACAAGTTGATATAATAAAATACATAATTTCCTTGTCCTGTAAACAAGGAAGTGTTATGGTTTATCCAGGATTTCACACACAGAAACAATGGTTGTGATTTTGAGAAGGGATTGTGTAATAAGAGTTTCCTTCTTCTGTAATCTGGTCAGACTGAAGATGGCTGCAGGCAATGCACAAATTGGAAAGCTGGCCCCGGACTTCACAGCCAAAGCGGTGATGCCAAACGGACAGTTCGAGGACCTGAAACTGTCAAGCTACAGAGGTATATTGCTTTGATGACGCTCTCCTCTGGACTGTGATTCACTGCTTTGTGATCCCACAATATACTGAATAGACATTAATTTACACTACTGAAAGCTAGAATGAATTAGCCTAGAATTACCATGGTTACATGTTCACATGATAAACAGCCTTAATTGTTGTCTTTTCCTTTGGTGCAGGGAAATATGTTGTCTTTTTCTTCTATCCCCTGGATTTCACCTTTGTGTGTCCAACTGAGATCATCGCTTTCAGTGATGCTGCCGAAGATTTCAGGAAGATTGGCTGTGAGGTCATCGCCGCCTCTGTGGACTCACACTTCTCCCATTTTGCATGGTAGTTACGAGGCTTTTCATCTGAAGCAGCCGCAGTGATTGTGTGAATTTACTCTTGCAAACTCCCCACTTTCTCCCTTTGCTTTATGTTCTCAAAGGACCAACACACCACGTAAGCAGGGCGGTCTGGGTTCTATGAAGATTCCGCTGGTATCTGACACACGGCGCACCATCTCCACTGATTACGGCGTCCTAAAGGAGGATGAGGGCATCGCCTATAGGTCGGTTTAGCAATGTGCAGCTGGCTGTTTTTTTTATGCTTCATTAAAAATCAGAAATAATAAAGCCAGTGTTAGCTTCTGTTGCGTTTGCTTCCAGAGCGAGATGGTACACTTTTATTGCTTTATGCTTTCTTACTGAACTCTTGCACTCTATTTCAGAGGCCTGTTCATCATTGACGACAAAGGCATCCTGAGACAGATCACCATCAACGACCTCCCAGTTGGACGCTCTGTTGATGAGACCCTGCGTTTGGTCCAAGCCTTTCAGTTCACTGACAAACACGGAGAAGGTAAGTTACTGCTGTGTCATAACTGCAGAGGTTTGGCACCTTAATGTATATAATTATTTTACTGCGTCCTGTAGCATACAACCCTGAGTTTATTTAACTATTCTCTCACTAAAAGATTTCAAGATCACTTGAAATATGCCATACTGTGAGTGATATAATTACTCTCACCTTGCTCTCCATGAATCTGAAGTTGCTATTGGCTATTTGTAAAGACAGAGCAAATATCATAAATGCTTATTTAAATATAAAGGGTGATTACCTTATCAGTGCTAAGGTTCACATTTATTTTACAACAAGTTGAGAAAGAATTGTAGACTTAAAGGGTGGCAATAAAATGAGCATGGTCTTGAACAAATATAGTATACATTCGGCAACCAAGCCTTTGATGCGTTTCCCTGCTTTATACCCGAAGCAATATAGGTTATACACGGTATATCTGCATCCGATTGGCACAAGTCTTTAATGCTTCATCTCCTGAGCCAGGACTCATTGCAGGCTTATCTTTTCAGTGTGCCCAGCCGGCTGGAAACCAGGAAGTGACACCATCAAACCTGACGTCCAGAAGAGCAAAGACTTCTTCTCCAAGCATTAATAAGTCCAAGGCCAGAGTCTGTGGCCTGCTGTAGGAGATTTCATTTAGAGATTACATTTCCAGAGAACAATATTTATGTCAGTCGCTGTGCCTGTGGAGGAAAGGTTAGGAGACAGTTTTTGTAGTCAACATGCTGTGTGTGTTCTGTTGTCTGTAGAGTGAATAGTGCACTTATGACCAAAGTATATAATTGTCTAATTATGATGCGGTAATGTATGCTTTCACTGTCGGACTGAGCTAAATGTCTGTTTGTTCTTTCATGACATTCCTTACTATTGTTGCTACGGACCATACAAACATTATTATGGGAATGAAGCCACAAACACCTCTCTGTTATGTTGGATTTCTTTTTTTTTTTTTTTTTTACAGTAAACAACAAATGTTCTTTCATCAAAATAAAGAGTACGAGTTTATAACACTTTAAAGTCATGTATTTACTGCAAACATCACAGGTGAGATGTGGGTGTGTTGGAGTTATTACACAAGTTTTGTGGTGTTAGTAGAAGCAAGTCAGGTACATGTTTGATCGTGTCTGTGTGTGTGTGAGGTACTATGATTATATGAACAATTAAAGCAAATAGTCAAAGACATAAATATAATGGTGGACGATAAACCCCAATCTAAAGTATCTAAAATAAGTTGGAGGGTTGTCCTGTATTATGTCCTTGAGTTGAAGTTTAAAATAAATATGCTTTCCCTAACCAGGTTAACAGATGCTTGATTACAAAAAATTATTTTGAATGTAGCTGAGTGACTTAAGCATTGCACCACTAACATTTGAACTGAAACCCCCTGTGTGAGTTGACAAGGCCTTTAATTGTTTCTTTCAATAGACCTAAAACATATTTAGATGGTTATGTATTGTACATTGTTCTCTGACACACCTTGATTGAATAGGGCCGCCATTAATATCATTAAGCACACCTGTTTCTGCTGCTGTAATAATTAACTTAGAACTGGAAACTAATAAGGTTGGACATGCCTTTAACTTGAATTAACAGTAAGTATATTAATAGCAAGTAATATACATAAAATCAGCCCTATTCTTTTACAGAAGGACATATTAGCTGAATACATCTGTACAGTAAACAGTGAGAGAGCACTGTAATCTCACTGAGGGCATGTTTGTGGCGGGAAAAACTAATGACGGCATCCTGGCTATTGTTACATTAATATTTCAGTGTTTGAGTTTAAACTAATTATTAAGAATTGAGATAAGCTTCTTAAGACTTCATACAGCGAAACACTGTAATAACTCAGGCAGGAAAGGTGTCGTTAATATTAATATAATTGTATCGTCCCTTACATTGGCTGAATGTTGTTAGTTAACTAATTTAAAGGTAAATTAATCTTTAGTGTTAGCCATACCAAGCTAACACTGAGCAACTAAAGGAGAAAAGATGGCAGCCGGGAAGATGTGCATCAGGAACAGCAAGGAGGAGACTGCTGAGGTTTGACTACCCCACAGCCTAGCTCACGATAATATGTTTACCTTTTGATTAACTCACTTTGTGTATTTATGAATCAGTGTTTAACATATTTCCAAGTCTGCTGTGGAGGACACTTTAGATAATTAACGCGGACAATTGCGCCATCCGGTGGCCACCAAGTCAAATTTAGCTTTACTGCTTTTCTCCTTTTACACGTCTTTCTTAATCTGTTTTCTCTCCTGTCGATGGCTCTAAAGTGGACAGGATTATTCCTGAATGACTTGAAAACCGAGCAAAAGTCCCTGGTCTTCGTCAAGAGGATGGTGGCTGTGGCAATCTCCTCCATCACCTACCTCAGAGGGATTTTTCCAGAGGATGCCTACAGATCCAGATATCTGGAAGGTGAACACTGATGACCACAAATAGCTTACAGGGTTTAAGAAATCAACAATCATGCAAAGGTCACTTCAAAGGAATAGACCTAACGCTATATCAGAACTTCATTACAAAAGACAGTTTTTTAAATGTTTTTCTACATAGTAATAGAGCCCCAGCACAGCACCTATTGTGACATGATAGTAGGTTAAACACAAGTGTTACAAATTATATTCGGTTCCTTTCCAGTTGCACAATAGCAGCTCTCTGACTCTGTTCATATATATATATATATATATATATATATATATATATATATATATAAATTAATTAATTAATAGACCTGTGTGTTTGCCCCATTATTTCATGTTAAAAAGGCTGCTGTGAAAAAGTTGTTCCAGCTGTATGGGAAACCCATGATAAACAGGAAAAGATCTACCTTGTGTTCTTTGCCCTTTCACCAGATTTGTGCATCAAAGTTTTGCGAGAAGACTGCAACAACTCTGGTGCCAGTAAAGTTGTGAAATGGTAATTAAAATAGTCCTTCCTTAATGCTCCCAGACAGCACAGTAGTACTTTAGTCTGAAGGCCACAGCAGCTAGATCAACACCAGAAGTTTGCTGTTATAAATAGCACTTCACGTCATTTCCTACCCTAACTGATGTTTTCAACCTGTCTAATCTTGTCTGTTCCAGGATGATGGGCTGCTTTGATGCATTAGAGAAGCAGTATGTAAGTTAATGCATCCATGAATACTTTGAATTTATAATGTTTAATGTTGTCAGACATTTTGATCAATACTGCTGCAACTTCTTTTACTATTAAATATTGTCCTCTTAACAGCTGGAGATTGTGTTCATCGGGGTAAGTAAATTAAGTCAGTAATGCAACATTTATAGTTAACACATTGCTTACTTATAGAACAAAAGTTGCCAACAGTAACTCTACATGTTGGTGCCATCTAGGTGTACACCAATCCAGATGAACCTAATGTAAGTTCTCTCTCAAAATACTGAAGTGTGTTAATATTATGAACAGAAACAGGCTTTTTTCATGTGTAGTAGCAAATGAAGGAACATTTAGATTTATTTCCCCCTTTTCGCAGTGCATTATTGAGTCATACCAGTTCAATTTCAAATACACTGAGAAGGGGCCAAAGATGGACATAATCAGGTTTGGATGGACACTCCATGTTTGCAACAGTGTTTTGGATATGTCCTCCACATGTGATTGAAGTGATGGTGATATTACGTCCATAAAACCACAGGAACAACGATGTGGAGATGCAGGTGACATTGGAGGACACAAAGAGAGCGTCTGTGCTGCTCATCAGGAAGCTCTTCCTGCTCATGCAGAACCTGGATGCCCTCCCCAACAACGTCTACCTCAACATGAAGCTCTACTATTATGATGACAGTAAGACGCATTGATGTCTCAGGCGAACAAAACGAGAACCTTTTAAGACTCTTAAGTGTACATTTTTCTTTCGGTCACGTAGTTAAAAAAACATTTTCCTCCTGCTCTCTTTTCAAAGTCACCCCTGCTGACTACCAACCACCAGGCTTCAAAGAGGGCGAATGTGACAGCCTCTGGTTTGAAGGCATGGCTGTGCACTTCACGGTGGGTAAGGTGCATTCTGGCTTCCACACCTTAAGAGTGCGTGTGTCAGCAGAACAAAGCCGGCTGGAGAAGCTTCAAGAAGGCAACCACCTGAGGGAGACCAGGCAGGTTTCTCAGGGAAATCCTCCAGAGAGAGAAATGATCAAGGTGGGTCCAGAAAGAGGATTTATTCGAGTGCTGGATTTCTGTGTAAGCAAACATTGCCTGTTTCTTTGCTGATGTGCAGTTTTCTCAAAAAGTACTGAATCAAACTCACTCTTGTTAAATGCCGTCCATTCTCTCATGTAACTGATTTTCTTTAGAGTTGGTGCAGTTTTCTGTCAGCTTATTATAATTGTATGTAAACACTTGGTTACAGGAACCTTGTAAGAAAATGCATGACCAAGAGGATCTACCTTCTGAAGACGGTATGTCTATGTGCTGCTACTGTGAACAGAAATGTAACACTCATCAAAGGGTTTACACTGTTGACTCTCTTTCAAACAGAGTCTGCACAGTTCAAGAAACCCACACGACCTTTGGCAAAGGTACAGTTGCGCTAGAAGCTTGATTATATGAGTATAGGTTGCAGAAAAATAAATGACATCACCATAATGACGAATTGTAATGATGGAGTTGGACCGGTCATTATCTTTTTTGTCTATCTTAGAGAAATGCAGCCACCAAAAATCTGGCGAGGAAGAGGAGAAGAAGAATTTAACCACAACATTACACAAAAGCTCTGTCAGCAACGTAAACACAAACAGACTATTTGTGCATTTTATTGCAATGTTACACACTGTTTAATGTTATGTTACTATTTATTTGATAAAAATGTGTTAGAGAGGTTCCTTATGTCTACCCACAAGGCCGGATGTTACTGTCAGTTCTAATGTAGACAACATTGTACACGAAGTGTACAATCTAGATGAATTAAATTATTATTATCTTCAAAGTGCTTTATTATTTAGTATTTTGTGTGTATAAAAAATATATAATTGTCCATTGTTCAAGAAATAAAGCATTTTTGTTTTTTCTGTAAAAATGTTCTTCTGTACGTGGATGACAGAATATATTAAGCAAGAAAACATGCAGAGCAACAATGTATGCTTTAGTAGCTGAAATCAATAAAGATTCAGTAAATATTAATTAGAATCTGTAGTTTGATCCATCAGCTTATTGGCTCAATGTTACATTTATATCACATTCAGAAATATAAAGAAAATATATATCATGGCTCATTTTAACTTTAGAGTTTTCATCACTTTCAACACTAACACTTGATGGCCTTTCTGTTCTGGTCCAGACCATCTGTTTCAGTCTCTGGGTCAGTGTTACAGCTCCATCTTCCTCTCGATGTGTGCGTCTTAGAATAAGCTGTCCACATCTCCCATCTCCACAAACACGGTCTTCAGCTGGGAGTAGTATTCAATCGTCACCTGGCCGTTCTCCCGCCCTATGCCTGGTGAATGTACAGATTATACCTTTACTTCCACTTCCCCTAATGTATGTGCTTGGGAAGTGTTGAAACTGGGTTTTTAAAATTAGGAAGTACTCTCACAATGCTACAGTTGTTCTTTTTGGCATATTCACTGCAATTGGATTTGGGTCATTCATATAACTTGGCCATTGATGTTTGGCTCCTGGTCTTTGGGCTAACAACCAGACTGTACCTGACATTTTGAAGCCTCCAAAGGGCACCTCCACAGGAGTGATGTTGTAGTTGTTGATGAAACAGGAACCAGCCTTGAGGTGTGCCACCACACGATGGGCTCGTCTCACATCACTACAAACACAAAACCAGAGGTCATATTTCACTTTTTTGCTTTGACTACTGGTAATTCTGCTGTTTACACATCAAATGTAGATTCTTCTGAAAGGTTTAAGACAATTGGTTCAAAAATCCCTTTTATTAGCCTAGGGGTCTCACCAAAAACCTACCTGGTGAAAACTCCTGCAGCCAGACCCATGGTAGTGTCATTGGCTCTCTGCAGCACCTCCTCTTCTGTTTCAAAAGACAAGACAGACATGACAGGACCAAAAATCTCCTCCTTTACGCAAGTCATCTCATCTGTGCAGTCACCTATACAGGGAAGAAAGAGAAAAAAAAAAGAAAGGACAAGAATGTGAAAACACTGGTGTGACCTCAAAGTAACCGATCTAAACTGAAGTGATGAATCCCTTCTCCTTAAAACAGTAAAATCCTCTTAAATGCTACAACAAAGAGTAAATCAAAGTTGTTTATCTTCCTAATGCACCGTATGGAAGAATGTAGGTAAGCATTACCTAGCACACAGGGAGTCATGTAGTATCCACCTCTGAGTTTGGGATCTGATGGGACAAAAGGTTCACCTCCACACAACACTGTAGCTCCCTAGAAACAATTCACATCAAGATCTAGATTTAAGTTGCTGCACACAGGCCTGTTGACATGGTGTTTGTAAAAGGCTAAATAAATTAAGTCTTACCTCTTTCTTTGCCTGGTCAACAAAAGATAGGACTTTTTCTAGGTGCGCTCGGCTGACCAGTGCTCCCATTCGCGTGTGCTCCAATAGTGGGTCTCCTATCTCGATCGCCTGGGTCCTCTTCACCACCTCCTCCAAAAACTCAGGCAGAATATCCCTCTGAACAAAGACCCTTGTACCGTTGCTACAGACCTGTGATACATTTAATCAAATAATAATGTGTCACAGCATATGAAACACAACATATAATATCCAAAGCTGATATCTACCTGGCCTTGAGACAGGAAGTTGGCCATGAGAGCTCCCCTCACTGCGTTCTCCACTTCACTGTCCTGAAAGATGAGCAACGGAGATTTCCCCCCCAGCTCCAGAGTCACAGGCTTCACCCCCTTGGATGCCATCTCCATAATCTGTGTTCAGATTAGGATGGAAAAGAAAGACCTCAACATCTTAAACACTAAAGTGGTGTTTCTTTCAATTAAAGGTGGGTTCAGTCATTCTAAAAAAAAAAAAAAAAAGATTGTTGAGTCTCATTCCCAGGTGGACAAATATAGATGCTATGGCAACCAAGTGTCCACGAATGCCATCTGTTATGTGTGGCTCGCTGCAAGCCACTTTCTTTATTTTCCATATACCATAAACTAAAGCGTCTGTATTTGAAGACCTGGGAATGACACTTAACAATCGACTTTCTTTTTCCAGAATGACTCATACTTATAAAAAAAGAAAAGTTGGCAGAGTGTGTAGAATTTTTAGATCCTGACCTTCTTGCCTGTTGGCACACTCCCAGTGAAGGACACCTTTGCGACGTCCGGGTGGTGGCAGAGTAAGCTGCCGGTCTCCTGGCCGCCCTGCACCACGTTGAACAGCCCCTCTGGAGCACCGGCCTTGGCGTATAGCTCTGCCAGTAGGACCGCCGTTGCAGGCGTCACTGGTGATGGCTTGAACACCATGGAGTTGCCTATATTAGATCACAGACACAAGAGAAAAACAAATGAGTACTACTTTTTTATCTAATCCACTAGACAGCACCCAGAGATTATACCTATGTCAAGTAATTAGATATACTTCTTTATTACACACACACAATAATAGGCACAGTCAGCTGCTGTGATTTTTGGATATAACCTTCCTGAAAGAGAAAACTCTGAATTATTAACTTGTCTTTACAACTTGAGAAGTATCCCATACCACAGGCCAGGGCTGGAGCTGATTTCCAGGCAGCTATCTGAAAAGGGTAATTCCAAGCACCGATACCGACACAGACTCCCAGAGGCTCTCTGCGGGTGTAGGCAAAGGACCCCCCAGGCAGCTGGACATGCTGGCCTTGATAAAGGAGAGGCAGAAATATAATCATAATAAAACATAAGGTTTGAACAGATTTGGTTTTAAAAAACTGAGTATTGTACCAACCTGCCATCGTGCTGGCTAGTCCTGCATAGTACTCTATACACAGTCTGGCAGAGTCCACATCCAGACGGGCTTCTGTGATGGACTTCCCATTGTTGACAACCTCTATTTCAGCGATCTCCTCTCTCCTGCTCTGTGCATGAAAACCACAGTGTAATACGTTTTGTGAGTGCAATTGTTACACAACACAGTATGTGAAACTCAGCAGTATTTTTAACATTAAACAGCTCATGGTAATTTCCACTCTGAAGGTCTTTGTTTTGCATGAAATAAAAGAGGCTCCATTAAGATACCAGCAAACTGAGTGCATTCAAGAAACCAGGCCAAGGACCTATGATCAAAGTATTCTCTGAATTAATTCTCATGTGGTCTTTGTACCGACTTACATATTCTCAGGAGTATCATACAAAAGTGAATAAATAATAATAAAACCCCACCTCAATGATATGGGCTGTTTCTATCATGATCCTCGCTCTCTCCATTCCAGACATTTTGCTCCAATGGCTGAAGGCCGACTTTGCAGACTCCACAGCCTGATCGACCTCCACAGCACCACACGGCTCCAAATGACACAACACTCGCCCTGCAAAGTGAAATATATGATGGCAAATTAAGTACCCAGGTTAAACATAAAAACAAAAGGTTACACAATTTCTATTTGGCCAGGCCATCTGACTTTGTTTTTGTTTTGTTTACTTAGAACTGGTTTAATGTGCGTCAACCCTCAATAAAGAAGGACATTCATTCTAGGCCTGCAGAGCACAGGCTGTAGCACAATGTATTTAATGTGGCATTTACACTGTGGTGTTGAAGGTTTCTTTGACTATGACATTAGTCATAGGAACCATGCCACACAGTGCCACAAATTACAGTAACACAAATGTAACACCTACTGGTTATCAATGATGCTATAATAGCTAGGATGTGAAGTGATCACATGACTTGGCTCTGCTCCACTGAAGCTGTTCAGTGGCCACAAAACGGGTTGCACATGGAAATGGCCAGTTGTGACTAAATGGATTTACTATATAGGGAAGCATGTGAATGTGTCGCTGAAAAACAGCATGTATGCATGATGTATAACATGAATTATGACAATTGAATTGTACCTGATACTGTTTTCCCAGGCCAGAGATCACCATGCATACATCTTCACACAGCAGTGACCAAAGTCCAGTTAGGAAACAGTGTCAATAATGTTGGACAGCTTTTTAACAAATCTAACATCAAACAATTGTGTGACTTACCTGTTGCAGGTTCGTAAACATTTTCCCTGTTGCGTTTCTCCAGGCTCGTCCGTCTCTTCCCAGCCCAGAAGTTCAGCGGGACCGTGATGTCCACTGACCCCGAGGAGACGCATCGTACCGCCGCCGCGAGGGGAGCAGCTGCGGGCCGCCGCAGGGACGCAGCGAGTCTCTGAAGCATACTCAAACTGGCTCTGTGGCTCGGAGTTTATAACTGTAAAACAAACACCCTGCAGGTTAACACCATAAGACACTGTCACCTCAGAATAAAAACCGACACTGGAAAAAAGGCCAAAGCACTTTCACTCAACTTCAGTAAACTAACGATATGCTAAACTAACCAGTTAGCTATTACAGCAAGTGTACACAACTTTTACCGGCTAGCTCCTTCTTTCTGGATGTTTCAACATTGTATATAACTACACAAACTATACTTACAGGCCTCTTCACACTTACTGTGGGGTTTAAATGTTATGAATCTAGATAACAGTTCATGTGTGTTCGGTTAACGTTACATTATCTCAATGAGCCTCAGCCAGGGGGCGGGGCCAATACGGGACGTCACTTTCCTGTCCTGTCAGACGATTGGATATTTTCACTGTCAAACACACAAAAAACAAAAGTAATAATTGCAAATTGATAATTTAATTGGATACAAACTGCACGGGTGTTACAATTAAACTATGCTAAAAAGAATGTTAATGCGTTAATGTAAATACAATTAATTATTCTTTATTAATAAAATAACGGACGACGGTGAAGTTGGCTTCCAGCTCGTCAGTTAAGGGGAAACTTAAGGGAGACTTAACTTACTGAGCTAAGGACTAGATTATTTGGGAGAGGCTTAAGACTCTTTAAAACACAGTTTCAGATTTGTGAAACCTTTATTCTATTTGTGAAAATACAAAAAAGGGAGATTTCACTGTTTTTTCCCCACATTTAGACCACATTGGACCAGGTCTCTTTCAATAACCACCATGTCCTGTAGTCCTCCATAACAAGTAGAATACAGTTATTACAAATGTGAACGCGTTAAGCCCACTGACAGTATTTATTAGTTTAAGCCTTTACCTAAAGTAAGACGAGCAAAAAACGGAGGCCTGATCGCTCAGCACTGTAAAATAAATCTCCCTTAAGTTTCTCCTTAACTACCGAATCGGAAGCTAACTTCCACCGTCGTCACTAACGACGGTGTGGTGGGAGGAGCTCCATCACAAAGATCTTCCAGAGCAGCAGCTCCGACTACACAGTGCAAGTATGGCCGGGGACAGTGAGACACATCTAAGGGACCGCGACGAGAACACCAACATTGTTCGACAACCCTTTCTCATCGGTGTCTCCGGTGGCACCGCCAGCGGCAAGGTTGGCACCCTAGATGTCTAAGTTGACCGTTTTGGTGGATTGTCAGGGGCAGATTTTGAGCTACGGCAGAGGGTCAGTCGGCAGCCGGGTTGACCGCGTGGCTTCAGCGATGTAACGTTGAGGCTTGATTGACAGCTCAATCATCTGTTTAACCACACGACTCTTCGCTAGCACCGGTATATCTCAGCACACTTGTCAAGCGCCTGTTGTCCTGGGCTTTGTAGTTGTTCAGTATTGTCTCTCCGTTCCGTACAGGGTGGTGGTCGTTAAAGGACCGACTAACTTTAGACTACTTGGAAATCACTGATGTTAGCCTACTTAGCCGCCTAGCTCAATTCCATCACATGCTAGCAGCGCAGACAATGGCTATGTAGCTGGTGATAGCTTACCTCTAGGCTATCGGAACTCTTGTTTGTAAACAATGTGAACCAATTATATGTACCTCCTGTCTTGAATATCGTCATAATAGGCTTGTAACCGCATATTTAGTAAAAAGGGGGAAAAAGAAAAAAAAAAGGCTCGTAGCGTTAAAGGTGTTTTAGTTAGTGACCTGGGGTAACAGCTGAGGTTGGATAACGTTAACCTAGATGTTGGTGTAACATAATGACTAATAACAGACACAGGCGCCAGCGGGAAAAACCCAACCCAGATGGAAATGTTTCTCTAAAACCATCGCCCCCACGTCCCTTTGTTCTATTACGACTGAAATAAATCAGGTTGTGACCAGGTTGAGCCGTGTAGTGTAAACCCCCAGTCGGGATTCATTTACACAGAAACCGAGGTTTATTTCAACAAGCCGCTAGTTAAAGTAAAGCCTCGTTGGTTTGCCTTTTACCATAACTTGCGTGGGCAGCGCTGAACACCGGCTGACATCCTCCTCGTTGCACTGAAATAACGCACCGACGTGGATATAGTCAAAGACGTCACTATGTGTCTTTGTTATGGACCGAGCATACTTTACCGGTGGTGCTGAACAGGCACGAGTTGAACTTACAAACAAAAGCTTCCTAGTGGGAGCCACTGCCGAGATACTTTTAAAACTAAAGGTTTCAACATCTGGCCTTTTTAAGTGCTCTGTTATAATACTTGCTCACGTACAGGGTAGGTAGGTAGATCAGACATGAGGGCGAAGACTCTCATGTCTGACGTCTTCTCAGTCCGCCCCTCCTCCCAACTTTGTCCCAGATATCAGCACACTGACGCTGAGCCACTGTTTTGCTTCCTGGAGTGAAAACCCCTCACTAGGGACTGGACGAAGGGTTGTCTGTACAGTTTTGACGCCACACTACACGAGTTTTAATTAAGTAGACGGCTCATGGATTGGATGATGTAATTTTAGCCTCCTCCTCTGAAAACAGCCCCCCAGCTCTGCAGTGCCAGTAGCTGAATTGTTCATCGGCAGGTGTTTGATTTTAGCCTGGCTCTCCTTGATAAATACAGGAAAGCATTTCTTTGTTCTATCAGTAATCAAAATATTAAGAAAAAGTGAAGAGGTTTAGTTTCAGTGTCAGTCATATTTTCAATAATACATTAATGTTAAATAAATATCAAAAGCTCATTCAACTTGCTAGAGAACCTCTAATTTTGTTTACTTTAAATTTGACCGAAATTGATTATCAGTATAACTCACTGATTTTAATTAATCAGCCCAAAGACTAATCAGTTTGTCAGCTTAGTGTTGGAGCATTTAAAATGCTGTATGTGCATGAGATCTTTGTGTTCAAATTCAGGTCCTTTTTGTCTGATCTTTTTTTTTTTTTTTGCGTTTGAGTGTGTTGACGCAACCTTCCGGCTCCTGAGGCGGGGCGTCCAAATTCATTGTGGTACACTTTCACGAACACAAAGGCATCAGCCACGGGCAGCTGTAGAATGCCCAGTCAGCACTGGATATGAGATTCATTTAGTTGAGAAGGTCAGTGAGGGCAAACATGATGGTCCACTGGGAAGTGCAACTACCGTTGTGTTAACTGACTCATACAGGGTGTGAAATTACCCACCCACACCATTTCCTGTTAGATGTGACCGTGGGTTTAAAATGTGTTTTTTTTATTTTTTTTCTCTGTGGACACAATACAATACTCATTTTTATGTTTGTGCTCAAACAACACATTCCTCATAGAGTGACCTATTTAAAAAAAAAAAAAAAAAGGTTTTTCTGTTTATCTTTTATTGCAGTCGTCTGTATGTGAGAAGATCATGGAGCTGCTGGGGCAGAACAAGATTGACCACCACCAGCGGCAGGTGGCGATCCTCAGCCAGGACAGCTTCTACAAGGTGCTAACTCCAGAGCAGAAGGCCAAGGCAACCAAGGGCCAGTTCAATTTTGATCACCCAGGTATGCAACCATTGAATAGTTGGTGGTATAGCTCATGCACTGTATGGAGTATAGCCCCTCAGCTGCCTTGAAGCAGGCACATGTTTGCGACTCGTATCGCAGATTCCAGTTGCCTCAAGAAAAGTGTTTTTCAAATGGTTTGAAACCAGATACTTAATCTACAAGTGGAGTTTGGCATGCAATGGTTTGTGGAAATGGTAAGAGCTGAGGCTGCTTCGGCAGTAAACAGATTAAAGATCAAGTCTTAGATGACGATAACTAGCGAACTTAAGCAGTCAAGGTTCCAAGATGATATATAATGTTTCAAACAGGCTTTTGTTCAGCAGCATGCTTTGCTGCCATGTAGGTCATTTTTTTTCAGCGTAGCTTTGGCAGAAGCATAGACTCCATTTTTGGAGCCCGACTTTGCCCCCTCATGCTCCTACTTCCTTTCCTGGCTGATTTTAAATCCCCACACTCAGCAGGCCTTTCTCAGAAGCAGCTGCTGTAAGGCTCAGCGACTGAACCCAACACCTGTTACACGGAAGGGATTCCTAGGTTACCAAACGTGCAGTGTGGGGACCCACGTGTCCACGGGCGCACACCAAGCTGGTGTTAAATGATACTACATCTCATCAAGATTGTGACAGAGCGTTTGCCTTTTGTTGTCCTCAGATGCCTTTGACAATGAGCTGATCATGCAAACACTCCGACAGATCCTGCAGGGGAAGACTGTCCAGATCCCAGTATATGACTTTGTCACTCATTCCAGGTGAGCACCTCTGTCTGTTGTGCGTCACAGTTGCCATTTTGCAAGCGCCTATCATTATGTGCTCTTGGAAGTATAGACATTTAATCTACAGTGACACGTCACCTTAAACAGGTTCCTGAACCTATCATTTATCTTGATTTTCTCTGTGAGGAAACATCTGTTTAAATTTGCGTAACACAATGAATGAATGTCACTGGCAGAGAGGAGAAAACTCTTCTGTGTGTGTTCTTCCAGGAAAGACGAGTTTGTCACGGTGTATCCGGCTGACGTGGTCCTGTTTGAGGGAATCCTCATGTTCTACTCGCAGGAAATCAGAGACCTGTTCCAGATGAAGCTGTTTGTTGACACAGATCCAGACACACGGCTCTCACGCCGAGGTGTGTAGTGATAGTTTGGTTAAGCATGACGGGTGTAACAATTGTAGAGTAGTGCCCTGCCTAACTTGAGTATGTTAATTTAATGTTAATCAAAGTAATTAGTACTGCTAATAAAAGGTACACGTAGACTTGTTGCAGCAGGAACATTATTACACCAGTGTAAGTGCTCCCCAGTTACCACTGAATACTAGTGATGAATACCAGTGTGGGTTTTTATATGGATGAATTTTTCTCATTTTGTTAATGTGCTAGGATTTCATATTGTCCATCTTTTTTTGTGTGTGCTTTCTCTATTTCAGTTCTAAGAGACATCAGTGAGCGTGGTAGAGAGCTGGAGCAAGTGCTGGCTCAGTACATCACTTTTGTAAAACCGGCCTTTGAGGAGTTCTGTTTACCAGTAAGTGATGTTCCTAACTCCCCGGTGTTGTTGGCGCAGCAAATGTTACACTGGGACGGCCGACATTATCAGACAATTTTAGCTCAGAGATTTACATTGGTTTTAATGTACATGTCGGCCAGTGTCAAACAAGTAATTTCAGCACAGAAAGGCCAAAGACAGAATTAGGATAATTAAATTAAAGTGCTGCCATTACATTGTTTGTCCACCAGAGAGCGCTGAGTTTTATTTCAACTTGCTCTGTTCATATCTTGGGCATAATTCTTGAATAACCAAATTTAAGGCATCCTTATCAAAATGTTTATATTTTGTGGGTCTTATACTATTAGTTGATGTATTGACAGATATTAAGTACCAGTGTCCATTTGATGAGAAAAATGTTGTTTCAGCACTTGAGCATTGACCATATCCTTATTTCTATTAGACGAAGAAGTATGCAGATGTGATTATTCCACGAGGAGCAGATAACCTTGGTAAGGACAATTGTTGTACAGTGTGCACGCATTGCAGTTATATTGGTGAGCATAGGAATCTCTTTGTCAATGTTTTTTTGTGAATGATTTTACACATCAAGGTCTCCTTACAGTTGTTGGAGAGTACTACTGCTTTATAAGTTGTATAGAGCCTTGTGTGGCTCCAGAGGGAGCTGCAGTGTCTAATAAACATCTGTTTAAAGACTACATGGTGAAAGAAATTTGGGGGTGTATAGTTAGAAATAAGTGAGCTTACCAGACTGCTCCTCATGTCTGCTGGAGGCTACAAGCATAACTCTTCAAAATCTGAGCAAACTGCGTTATGGGTAATGTTGGTGCCAGCTTTTGTGTGGAATTAAAAAAAAAAAAAAAAAAAAAAAAAACAAAGACATCTCGGGTTCTCTGATTGTCAGCTTTGATCATTTTTAACTGCCTGTCATGAGTCTGACAACGTTATAGGAGAACAATGCTGAATCTGTTTTTACTTTATTAACTCTGAAACCACCACTCTCTCCTCGTTTCCTGCAGTGGCCATCAACTTGATAGTACAGCACATCCAAGACATTCTGAACGGTGGACTAAGCAAGCGCCACAACGGCTGCATGAATGGCCACAGCACTCCACGTCAGCGACGGACCTCCGAGTCCAGCAGCCGGCCTCATTGACCTCATCACACCTCTCTTCACAGAGCGGAGAGGGGTGTGGGGGTCGCGCTGTAAATAATGCCTGATGGCATCTATGTATTTAAAAGAGAAAAGAGATGCAAAAAGAATTGAAATGCCTTTATTATTATGACTCGTTATTAGTTCTTTCATTGTAATTGTTGAACTTAGATTTTGGTCAGGAGGGTATAAGAGAAGCTCTTGTTGTTCTTGTGAAGAGACCATGGGTTAAAATTGACCCCATGCATTTCCCTCCCAGATTGCATTTATGTTTTTTATGTATCCCCTGCTGCTCCATGGAAATTCATGCCGCTAATGAATAAAAGAGGGGAATCCTTTTACTTTTTTTGTAATGTCTGATAAAACTTGAACCCCTAATGGCTGGGGGAGTCTGATAAATGTTCGTTTGGGTTCCAAATGAGAAGGGCGTGGATTAGACGACGCGTTGAAGAAACCAGGATTGCACTCTGTATTTGTACTGACAATCTTGGAAGTGTTCCTTTTCTCTTTTTTTCCAGTGTTTAAGTTCCCTCATTGTATTGTGTGGTCTAATGTGTTACACTAGACATCTGTTTACTACACAGTGTGCACCACATTGATTCTGAATAATGTCTGTAGCAGTAACACTACATGATTTTTCAGTACTGATTGTCACATGCAGAATAATGTGACTACCAGACCAAGGAAGCCAAAGGCTGGAAGGTTCAACTGACTACTGTATTAACTCTGTCTAGTGTTGTGGGTATTGTTAGATTTTTGGGTTGCATGTACCCTCTTAATTAATGACCTGTTGATGTATGATTGTCCCCATCAAAACTCATGTTTTCTTAAAGAACATGAATTAAATCATACGGTTATTCAATTTACTTCCCTAATTTAGATGAGTTTGCCCACATTCACTTGACAGTATCAGCCCTGTTAGATAAAGACATGACATGTATAACTCTCAGGTTGATAATAATAGCGTTTTGATTTGAATTTCCGCATTAAAAGGTGTTTAAAGGATGTTCAATGCCACAGCAATATCCATTTCCCCAGGTGAGTGGCTATTGACCACTGAGACCTACCACAATGCCTCTGCAAAGTTACCTCAGGTCAAACTGTACAGTAAGTATTCACACTAGAAAGCAGTTTCCATTCTAACTTAAGGTTACAATAAAACAAACTTAAATCAATTTTATATTTCATGTGCTGTATTTGTTGTGTATAGTACAACTGGATGAATGGTTTGTACAGTATGTTTGTTGAATAGGAATTGGGTTATTGAATGATTTATAGATGAATGACGTCAATTGATTGATGGTCAATAAACGGATGAAGCCGAGTGTCCCTGACTGAAGTGTGATTATTTGGACAAAGTTTAATGATACGCATTGATGAGAGAGGCTTTCAAAGTGTCCACTAGATGGTGCAATTACTGTAGTTATGCTCCCTTAAAATACTGACGGACATATGAACACAGCACACAAATATTCGTCCTGAATAGTTCATATGATTGGAATAAATACCCGACCTGCTACGTTCAGTTGTCAACAGCATACATAAGACATAGCATAGTAAGACAAAGCATATGTGGTATAAAATGATCAATGAACATTATGTACTGCAAGCATGATGCACATTTCCTCACATTCATTTCAGCTACTTTACTTCTAAAGCAAAGCTGAGCTGAAAAACAAAAACAGCCGTCACACGTTGCTTTTCACAGCCTCTCTCTTTGTCATGTAGCTAACGCCACCAAACAAAAAAAGAAAAGAAAGGGGAAAACTAGTCCTTTATGACAGCGGGTGCTGGAATTTACGAGGAGCGCTTTAATGCAGCAAAAAAAAAAAAAACCTCAGTGTGGAAGATTCAAGATGGTGGTACGTGTCACCGCGGCGTGTTTCTGATGTAAACAGTGAAGCAATTTAGCTCATTTTGGGTGAATTTTAACCTCTCCTTGTTTTCTATATATGACAGAAATTTGGGCTCCAGTTCAAAGCCACTTTGGAGAATGTCACCAATGTGAGGCCATTGGGCGACGACTTCCGCTGGTTTCTGAAGGTAGGATGGCTGTCTAGTTCACGTCTGTATTTAAATATAGTATATCATCTCATTCTCCTCTCCGTGTTCAGTAATGCTCATAGTTTTATCATGTTCACCGACAGAGGAAATGTTCTGATATCAGCCCTTACTTGACAACAAGATAAGGAAAGACCTGTACATTGTGTATGTGTTTAATCATGTTGACACACTTCTTAACCACTTTACTGACTGACGCTCAGATCCTCAGATTTTACAGAAGAAAGCCCTCTATTTCTGTTACATTGTCTTTCACTTTCTGTCTCACTGTCTTTTCTCCTTAATTTAGCTGCAGTGTGGGAACTGTGGAGAGGTCCCAGATAAATGGCAGTACGTAACCCTAGTGGTAAGGACAAAAATAATCCTGGTGTCTACACAGTTTGGTCAGTTTTGTACATATTGTCACACACCGCATCCAACCTGTTTCTTTTAATGATTCACAGGAGAGTGTGCCACTAAAAGGAGGAAGAGGCAGTGCCAGCATGGTGCAGAAATGTAAACTTTGTGCCAGGGAAAATTCAATAGGTAGGAGTCAACGTGCTGTTTTCCTCACTTTGTCTTCATTCTCTGAGGAAAATACTGTTGTTGAATTATAACATGACTATTGTTTATTTACAGATATCCTGGGAGACACAATCACACCGTATAATGTAAGCAAACATCCTGTACTTCCACTTTGAAACAGACACATCACCAGAGTGTTGATAGTGCAACTGTACTGCAAACAGCGACTCCCATCATGCACTGCAGTTGCCATTTGAAAGCATGACTGATGGTGTAGGGACTAAATGTGCTCATTTTCAGTTCATTCATCTTCTCATTGCAGAACCCTATTAGACAAATACTTTTTGTTCAACGCATTAAAGGCACACTATGCAAGATATTTACCTTAATATAACAGCTTCGAAGTAATTTCGATGGTAAACAAACTCGTAGTATAGTGAATCATCCCGATAGCAAAGCTGGAGAAGGACGCCGTTGGCAGAACCAGCAATGCAAGTCTGAAAGGTGGCGCCCCGCCAAATCTCACGAGAATCACAAATTGCTTTACGGCGCAACGTCACATACATCAACGACATAAGAAGCAGCCTAAATGGAAGACACTAGCAGGCATTCACTCAGACGTTACCTGGTCAGTAGACATCTTCGGAGTCTATCTTTGCCTGTTTGATGTCCGACGCTTCCATCCTACTGAACATATACCGGTATACTGGGGGGAGGGGATCAGGCCGTGAGTGGAGAGACGCAGAGCCGTATATATAGAGACGGCTCTGGTGAGTGGTATTTACGACAGTTAATGTTAAATACAAGTACTCCGCAGCGACTCTAGGGGTAGCTGTTTGACAAAACCAGAAAACTGCATAGTATGCCTTTAAGCAACAGCAAAATGACGGTAGGACAATGGTTGTTATAGGTTGTTTTTATTAGGGACCGACTGATTATCGGTTTACTCAATCGATTTCTGGATCTGATATTCAGCATTTTTCCGTTACTGGTATAGTTTTGCCGATAAAATAAATAGAAAACTAAAATTTCACTACAAATGTAAGTTTTACTAGTTTCATTTTTATTTTACTGTATTTACTTCATAAAGTTTTGTGAAACAATTTTGTATTTTTATTTAAGTTTTCAGTTAAATTTATAAACAATGCTGCAGGGCTTCCTGCACTTGTTTTAAGATAGCATTGAAAAGTTATCTTTTGGAAGTCCTTAAAGAACTCCAATCTTCTACTTTATTAAAAGTGGCAATACCAAAGTGTAAAAACACTTTGTTACAAGTAAAAGACCTGCAATAAAAAACTTAAATACTTAAGTAAAAGTTCAAAAGTATTTGTATCACAAAATACTTTCAGTACTGAAAGTAAAAGTGCAGAATGGCTCATTTCAGAATAATGTATAGTATATTACTGGATTCAAATGATGCATTTGTTATCACTTTAATGTTGCAGCTGGTAAAAGTGGAGCTAATTTATTTATAAGCAATAAAAATTTCATAAAATGGAGAATACTCATGTAAAGTACAAGTATCTCAGAATTATACAGTACTTAACTAAATGTAGTTAGTTTCACTCCACCAGTGGTTATTTTTAAAGATTTCTATTTTTATCGGCCCTGTAAAAACATATAGGTCGATCCCTAGTTTTAATTGGGAAATTAAAGGATTGATTTAAAATTGTTCTTTTTTTAAATTTTTGGTCAGGTGCCCATATGAGCCATGAAGCAGATTGTTCTTGTTGTGTCCTGTTCATACTGGCCATTAGGAGATCCCATCCTAATGCACTTTTAATGGAAGTGATAAAGGAACAAAATCTACAGTCCTTTTGTGCAAAAACATATTCAAAGGTTTAAAAAAAAAGAGGACTATTAGAAAACATTTCCTTTAATGGTTTTCTGAAAACATTGCTGCCTTGCATCTGTCCTTGAGTTTGTCTCTTCAGTTCTGAACAAATCTGTTCAGTGCTGCTTCTTTTTTACATTGTGTGCGTCTCTCTCTAATGTTGCTGTATGTTTGCTGTGTTGAAGGCCGAGGACAGCGAGCGCTTCAAGACAATGGTGCAGTTTGAGTGTCGAGGTCTGGAGCCCATTGACTTCGAACCACAAGTAAGAATGTTTGAACAGATATGAGTTTTACAATGCATGTAGCATAGGCTTTTTTCACAGTGAACATTTGACTTTTTAGGAAAAGCAAAAGTGTTCCAACTCAAGTGTCCCTGACGGTGTGACAATGAGCCAGCATGCACAGTACCAGCACCCTGAAACAAAAGCAGCCAAATGGGACTCAGCCACGATTGATTTTATTATTTGCGCCTGTGCTATTTCCACTGTGACATGTCAAAATGTCTTCCATGTGAATGACTTATTTAATGTAGAGTGTGTACATTTTTAACTTGACCTTGGTGACATTTAACCTACCAGATACGTTTGCAAATAGGGTTGAAACCATGTGACAACTGGATAACTGTCTCAGAAAACATAATGGCATATGGTATTATTATTATAATAACTATTTAATTAGTAGCATTGGTAACACCTGTGTTTACCCTACTATTTCACTATTGCTGTGAAAAAAGTCTGTTGCTGCATGAGTGTGCTGACTCACTAGAACTGCCCACCTAAACTGAATGAAATCAATAATTGTTATTAGATACACGCTTGCTGAGTCAACATATTTGCTGTGGAAAATAAGTATATTGCTCCTGAGTTAGAGAGTTTACTTGAGAAACAATATTATATATTCTCATGTGACTATTCTCAATTTCCTCTTTTATTTTTTACACCCACTCCAGGCGGGTTTCGCTGCACAAGGAGCAGAGTCTGGAACACCGTTTCTTGAAATCAACCTACAAGAAAAAGTAAGTGCAGAGGGAACAACTTGTCCCTGATGGTATGTCAGATTTGGTTTCAGCTTTTGGTTGTTATATATATTAACTTTTTAGAGAATGTTTTACTTGAAACAGAATTCAAAATCTGATTGATGGCATCCTTCGTTACAGGTTCTTTCATTAATTTTTTACTTTTCTTACTTTCTGAAAATGACTAATAATAATAATAATAATAATAATAATAATAATAATAATAACCCAACAGAATATGACAATCTCTTTTATCAGTGCAACTTGACAACCCTTGTTTTGTAAATTTCAGGACTGGACAGACTACGACGAGAAAGTCAGCGAGTCGGTGGGAATATATGAGGTCACACACCAGTTCAAAAAGTGCTGATGTCATCATGTGATGAGCCAATGAACACTACAGTTAAACATCCTCCGGCCTCTTTCCTGGCATCAAGGGATGCTCCAGATGCTGAGGTGGCGTGGTTTGGTTGGTGATGAACATTAACAGGTGAAGACTAACAGCACAGGTTGTCCATACACATCATGGATTAATCAGCATGTTCAAGGCTTTTTTTCACTGCCTCAATAAAATTCGAAAGGTGAACATTTTGAGTGAAGTTTGTTCTTTACTTTCCACTTTCACTGGCACTCAGAAGAGTAGTAGTGTATATTTATAGCAACCTGTGTCACAACAAGAGACTGAACTCTCTTCACATAGCTGGATGGAGTCACTGTAAAGAGATAACCCTTGACAGAAAAGTGATTTCAGGTTTTCTTGATTCAACAATTGAAGAAAGTTAGAAAGATAGCCTGCTGCATACAGCTACAAGTCATTTTCAAAAGGTGTTCACATGATTTACAAGATTTTAAGGAGAACAATGTTTGTCTGTAGGGTAACTCTCCAGCAAGCCTACATTAGCATAGACCGAGTGACGCATCGGTTGGGACATAGACGATCTTTGCTCTACAGTAATATCTGGACCCTGTCAGTGCTGCTGTCCACAGACCTGTCTGTCTGCCTCCGTCTGTATCAGCTGCTGGACACAAGCGACCATGGCACCTGGGAAGAAGAACAGGGTGTTTGTCATCGGTGTGGGCATGACAAAGGTAGCTTAATGTTATTATTATTGTCTTAGTCAGCAAGACGACCGCCGTATGTAAGACTTGAGGCTAGCATTGTCGGCTAACAGGTTGCACTGCATTCAACATGCTTCCCTTAAAAAAACTAACTTTGGCTTTTATTTTTAAATCCTTGTATACTCTGATGTTATAGATGTTATTATATAACAGTCCGTGAGGTTCAAAACCGACCGTAGTGCTCATATTGTGTCCACAGCTGGCACTACACATTGTAAACATTAGTTAGCGGAGTTAGCCCAAACAAAGTAGCTGTATTTGTGGTTTTAAAGTTGTGTTTAGAGTTAAAGTTTGGTCAGGATTTAATGTCTGATGTACATGTGCTATTTCATGCCTCCCTACATTTTGAGTCCATAGTTCATGGCCACCAGAGTTGCAATCTGTGCTAAGGGTCATCTCTCCAGCAGGCTGCTACACAGTGTGTCTGTCTGTGTCTGCAGGCTCTTGGAAAGTGAAGATGGGAAAAACTTTTCAGGCTTCTGAATGGTGACCATGACCATCACAAGGGCATAACACTTCTAGTAGATTTGAAAATGTCCCCTTTGCACCCGTTGTTATGCTTTTTATTAACTGAGATTGTGTCAGTTTAGTAGTTATTACATTGTAAGTGTACAAATGCTGTCATTATGAAACTGTGATTGGTGTCACTGTCCAACCCTCTCTCACTGTCACACTGAATAGTAGACAGACAATAATGTTCCTAATTTTTTTTATTTCTAAAAGTCAACTAGTGACAAATTTAGCAAGAAATGTATGAAAATATATTTTATATTAATTGCAGCCCACAGCTCTCTCCCTCTCCTCTTGTGACATGCGCAGACAGTCAATTTGGCTTGTGGGGCATGTTTGACCTTTTCTCTCAGTCTTTGTCTCCGGATCTCTGGATTAAGGTGTTCCTATAGCTTAGCCTAAAGGCAAATACTTTGTTTGAGCTTGTAAATATTGAGATAGTTCATATGATCTTCTCCCTCCCGCCGTGGATTTTTAACCTTTTTCACTTCAAATATACAATGTCCCTGTCGTCAGTTTGTAATTATATGGGTAAACAAATATTGTGTGTGTATGTATATTTCCATCACTGTATACCAATCAGACATTTATTTATTAAACATTTACAAATAAATTGATTATAAAAACTGTAATTTAAGTATGATCCAATGTAATGGTTACAGTGACAATAAAGTTGGTTGTTTACTATGAAAGAAAGAACCCGAGAATGTTATCCTGTACTCGAGAAAAGGAAAAACTGATGCGAATGTTCATGTTAAGTGACACTCATTGTCTGTATTTTGCTGCAGTTCGACAAGCCTGGAGTCCGAGACAACTATGATTACCCTGATATGACCAAGGAAGCAGGTGCTTATCTTCTCAGAAAATGGACATTGTTCAGTCACTCAAAAGATACCGTATCTGAATATCTGTGAGATGGATCTTGTTGTTTAACGTAACAAAGTGTTTCATTACTGTATGTGTGCATCCTGTTTCAGGTCAGAATGCTCTAGCAGATGCAGGAATCCCGTATTCTGCCATTGAACAAGCATGTGTAGGATATGTGTATGGTAAGACCCTGTTGTCAAGTCTCTTATAAAGTGTTAACATTTTAGATGTTTCCTCTGGAATAGTAAATAGCACTAATTTTGACATTCTTATACATACAGTACATGCTTTCAATCGTTTGTAACTTCCTAAATACTGTGATGTCTATAAACATACATTTTGTAACATAAAATGCTTATGGTCATAAAAAAACCAACAATGTGCCTTTCATATTGTAATTACCAGAGTAAAAAAGTAAAATAAATAAGCAATAACATCCTCTCTTCTACATTATTCCCTCAGGGGACTCCACATGTGGGCAGAGGGCCATTTACCACAGCCTGGGCCTGACCGGGATCCCCATCATCAACGTCAACAACAACTGCTCCACAGGCTCCACAGCTCTCTTCATGGCTCGGCAGTTGGTTCTGGGAGGTGAGTCAAGCAGGATGCATTGAAAGTGATAAACCACCCAAAATCTATATATATATATTTTTTTCATAATCCATTATCTATGATTTATCTGAAACTGTAAATCCACTCTTTGATCACTACTCCTCTCCTTTTGCAGGTCTTGCTGACTGTGTGCTTGCCCTCGGGTTTGAGAAGATGGAGAGGGGCTCTTTGTCCTCAAAGGTATCTGTTGTTGAACTGGAGGGTGTGGACAAAATAACATAAAAACTTCACAGTATCTTCTAATCCACCATATAGGTTATTTGTTAACCTCCTGTACTTTTTGCTAGCAGCATAGTTTTTCTTTCTGAAAAGAGAAAGGAAGAAAGAATATCAGCCGGTGGTCCACATTTGTCATCTGCCCCAGTAAAACAGAGAGATGCACTTTACTGATAAACAAAAAAAGAAGCTCCAATTTTCTTTTATTAGTTTTCATTAACTGCTTATTACTGTTGAGGGAGTTTATATTACAGGGGGGCTAAAGGGGTAGTTTGGCGGCCATAATAAAGAGTTCTACCTTTTAAAAAGCAAACTTCAAACACAAATTTTGTCAATATTCTTTCTTTCTCTAATGTGTTGCTTGTAACCAAAACATGTAAAATATAGAAATATTATCAACAAAACAGGCTATTACTATAATAGTAAATAGTAAAAACAAGTAAAATGTTATAAAACACATCCTGTTTCTAGTATATGGACAGGACCAATCCCATGGACAAGCACATGGAGGTGATGATCAACCGCTACGGCATGGTGGCAGCTCCAGCAGCACCACAGATGTTCGGGAACGCTGGCAGAGAGCACATGGAGAAATATGGTATATACATATACAAAAGCAGCTCACAAGGTGTTAAATGTGAAAGCAGTGAGTTCAGGATTTTGCTGTATCATATACAGTAAATGCTTGAATCTCTTGCAGGTACAAAACCGGAACACTTTGCCAAAATTGCCTGGAAAAACCACAAGCATTCCACCAACAACCCGTAAGACACAGTTAGCTCACTACAGATTAATGCCTCCAAATTTCCTTTGTTTTAATTCAAGTTATATGTATGTGTCTCCATTTGTGCAGGTATTCCCAGTTCCAGGATGAGTACAGTTTGGAGCAGGTGATTAACTCCAGGAAGGTGTTTGACTTCCTTACTCTACTGCAGTGTTGGTAAGACTGATCTTTTAAAAAATAAATTGATTATCAGATCTTGAGTGAAGCTATGCCAGAACTGAGGCTAACCAGATGTCGTTATTTATATTTGATCAAAGTGCAGATTCTGAGTTATTGATGATACTTGCCTCAGTTATTAATACAACCTCTCATCAGCCCTACGTCAGATGGTGCTGGAGCAGCTGTTTTGGCCAGCGAGGCCTTCGTCAGGGAACACCATCTGGAGAACCAGGCAGTGGAGATTGTGGCCCAAGAGATGGTGACAGACCTCTCCTCCACGTTTGAAGAAAACAGCTGCATTAAGATGGTAAGAACTACTCATTAATAAAGTGTGTCGTGTGACAACAAACTGAATAGTGTGTTAAGCTGATCAGTGTTTGATGATCTAAATAACTCAGTAAAAGGTCTTAAGAAGGAAACAAAGGCCATGCTCAATAGAGGTGCCAATGCAGAAAAGAACATTGGAGATATAGAGGACCAGCAGGAAGTGCATGAGGAGACAACCAAGGAGGTAAAGGGCCTGAAAACCGAAGGTTTCCTACCTTGACTCCTATAGCCGGAGGAACAGCCTGGTCCTTTTGTTGCATACGTTACATCCTTGATTTGTGCGAGATCAGGACGGACATCCATTCAAATCTTCATGGTCATATATTATTCGTCTGCTGAGTTGGACTAATTGGCATTTTTTCCTGCGGTCTCCTGTGTTTCAGGCTTTTTTTCCCTACCTTTCAGCACACAAGTTGGTTCATAATGAAAATTACACAGAAGAAGACATGAAGTCCCTTGGTAGTACTAGTCCTGTGCAGACTGGGCTTGGTCTGTTAAATAATTCTTCAAAAGTGTTTGCAAAGATGCTTGCTGGCAGCCTCACTTCTAGAAATATGAGGAGACTTTTTCATACACTCATATTTATGTTGGCAATTGAATAATAAGATAATCAGAGCAGCCTATAATGGTAGATATCCACTGTCATGGGTATATTAAAGTAAAGTAAAAGATTATTGCAGAAAATAGTTCTCTGTGGTACCACCCTAAATGTAATAGAAATGTTAGTAACCCCATAATTTTCTGTTCATATGTGACATAGCTAAAGACGTACTCTTTGTATTTCTGGCTTATCCCTGCCTTCTTGTCCAGTTTGGGAAAAAACCCACCATTAACAGCTGGAAGGAAACAGATTTCGAATAGTAGTGGCTGCAGGAAAATGTTACGTATTTGAGTCAGTTGCTTTCTGATGGCGACATTATTGAATTTAATGAACTAAGAATGCAGTAAAATTTAAAAGAGGACAACTTGTTTCAGCCAATCATTTTACTAAAAGGTTACATTTACATTATTAAGGGCATCACACTTGTCCTTAAAGACACTGCTGATGAAAAAACGCAAATGTTGGTCTTTACAAATTCTTGTCATACACTTTCTACAGATGTATAAATATTCGATCACAGTGGGAAAGAGAGCTAGTGATATCTCTCACCAGACCAGTGGGAAATCATCTTGCAACCTTCTAATTATTTATCAAAAAAATTAGTTGGGTATAAAGCTATTCAGATGAAAATTTTATTATATAGTATATATAACTCCCCACAAATTAAAGTGTGCCAGATTTGTGCTGGCTGTCGTAGGGCCAGGTACGCTCATACATCGACTGTGGTACAACAGCAGTAAAAGCATTCTGGGCTGACGTAATACATTACAAGCAAAATGTGTTGTATAAATATCCCATTATTCCCTGTAATACTCCTGAAATTGAATTTAAAGGATGCTTGCCATCGTTTTGCAAACCAGTGAGGAGAAAATCATCTTAAGGAAACTTGAAGCTATATAACTGATGCACAGTTATCAGCTATAGTTTTACCCCTGCTGATTATTATGTGTTGGGACCAGGAAGATCTCTTCATTATGATAAGTTTGTAACCTTGAATGTGTTCCTAAACATACTTCTTTTTGGGGGTTTTGTTTTCTGTTCAGGTGGGATATGACATGTCTCAGACGGCTGCCAAAAAGTGTTATGAAGCTGCAGGTCTGAAGCCAAGTGACGTTGATGTGGTCGAGCTGCACGACTGCTTCTCAGCCAATGAGCTCATCACTTATGAGGCTCTGGGGCTGTGTCCAGAGGGTAAGACCACAGCTGTTAAAAACCTAACTTATCCTCCAGCTATTTTACAACAAGAGGATTAGAGCAGGAAGTTTTCCCCCGGCCCTTTTTCAACCTGTATTTAGGTTTGTACTTTCACAGGAGTACATAGGACCAGGACTAGGGATTATCTATATAAGTTATTTAATATTAAATATCTGCTATTCCTACACAGAGTCAGGGATGCTTATATAAGCTGGTGATGTGTGACAATATTGTGCCTCACTGCTGAACTTATATGAAATAACCCAATAAACTAGAATTGAATTCTCAGAAACTTTGCCTGTAGTTTCCTTCCTCTTTGTTATTGGGTTATGAGGACATTTGGCTGTGAGGCTAAATACGGAACACAGCGCTCTCTGCAGATCCGCTCTTATGGGAGATACAGTAATAAGATCACTCTGAATAAAACCTGTTGGCTGCCTGGTGTCACTCTGAGGGACATGATCCAGAAATCTTACTGATCTTACTGAACCATTCATGACAGGAAAATAGGAAGAGTATTTGCCCCAAGAGGAAAGTAACTGTTTAACACTGGATTTCCACAATTCGTCTTTTTCTTCTAAATGTTGCCAATATGCTAAACAAAGGTTTGTTTGTTGACATCCTTTTAGTGTTAAGTTATTAACACGCACCTACTGATGATTTTATATTAACATGTCTTGCAATGCTCGGCAACATGTAGCCGTTCTGACTCATGAGTATTCAGTAGTCCTTACTACATTATATCTTGAGCACTGAGTACTCATGGGTCAGACCCCACCCGTCTTGGAACTCGGCCTTCATTTTGATCTCAACTACACACCTGAACAGTATTGTGACTGCATCTGTCCACATAAACACCTGGCAAGGTACAGAAAATGTGCTCACTGGGGGTTCCTGTTGCAGTAGGTTGCTCCAGCAGCACATTTTGCCATGATGACGCAGACAAGGTGAAAACAATACTGGTAAATACAATGTAAATTTCACTGGGTATTGTTTTGTGATCTTCCTGTGTGTATCACAACTTCTGCAGGTAAAGCAGGAGAGCTGATTGACAGAGGGGACAACACGTATGGAGGCAAATTTGTGATCAATCCCAGCGGTGGTCTTATCTCCAAAGGACATCCTCTGGGTGCCACAGGTATGCCGAGCCTCTGACTGTTGATGAAAACAAACCACCTGTCATATACTGTAGGACAAAGTACAGACTAATCCAGTCTGATAGGGAGTGAAAATGGCAGATCAGGGTCATAAAGCATTTGCATTTAATGCTCATTTGAGCTTGTTTTGAGCATCAAATGAATTGTTCAGAATAGATAAACGCATCTTTAAACAAACACTCTGTCAAACAACTTCCACGGCGGCCACTAGGTGGCATGTGTTTCATGATGATGGACACCTGTATTGTAACTGGGTAACAGTGATCCTCTGCCTGTATGTGAGAGGCCAGCCGCCTGTGGCTTTGGCAAGCCTCTCCTTTAATCTCCCCACATATTAAACTGTTGAGGGAAGAGACTTAGCAACAGTGCAGCTGACTTGTTCGGTCTTCATCTTCTTTCTGGCAGATCCAATATTTTTCCTACACATACCACATTTAATATTTATAGTCGCTGCTGCTTAGGTTCGTGTGCACTCACATACACTCACACAGTAACAGAGGAAGGTGAAACATCACAGTTTTCTTCTTTATCCTTCATTTGATACAGACCATTAGATTTGTCACTGTCGGATTCTTTTTTTTCTTTGATCTATCATCTTTTTCTCTGCCTTCCTTTCTTCGTGCCTAAAAATTTATTCTAGCACTCCCACTGCCTCATTATTTTTGCAATGATTTTCCCACTTTATGTTATCAATACTCGTCCTATTTCATGGGTGACTCTTCTATTACACGAGTGCCCCAGTCAGCTAAGCTCCGTCTGATCCATGGTTATGCGTCTAATCCTAGTTGTAAAGCTCTGACCTCGTGCCTCAGAAACAGTGTGAGCAGAGATACTGACAGCTAATTGACTGACCCTCGCAGGGATCCCCTCGCAGGAGGTATTGTGAGCTACCTCACCTTTTTCATGTTGACAGGATACCTAGGGACCTTGAAGGTTCACTGATGCAGAGGTTGTCATTTGTGGTGAATGACCATATGCTCTTGTCCCTCAGTAATGAAAAGGTATATCTGAGGTGATATCTAGAGGATGTTTGCTGGTAGTTTGATAAATAGCCTTGTGGACCCTACAGTAAATTTCAACAAGTCTCCATGGAGAAGATTAGGAGAGTGCTGCAGATTGTGAACTTAGCACCATGAAGAGGTCTTTACTCTAATTCCTTTAGCCTATTGGGTTGATGGAGAAATGCAAAAGCTCATTAAGCACATGGGATGAAATACTTAACCATAACACTAGCGCAGGAGTTGTCCCTGGCGAGAGTAGGGAGTGAGTTGTCAGATTAGGAGGCAATTTGTCACCCCTCTCAGTGAAGATGTTGTGTTTAATACTTGCAGAATGCTTCGGTGTCTTCACCTGGAGACTGATTGTTGGTGTTTTTTAAGTTGTAAACATTCCCAAAAAAGAATGTATGGATTTCAGCTTGATATGTATGAGTCTGATTGACACTTTCCCTTTGGATTATTGCAGCCTCATTGTAGATATTTTGAAATTACAGCAACAAAGACATAGCTGTTTTTTCATTCCACTGGTAGAAACTAATGTATGTTACGTTCTTGGAATGGCTTTTGAGGTGAGCTTTCTGTCACCTGCCAGAACCAAACTGCAGCCAGCAGCTTATTTATCATCATTAGCTGCTAATGAGACAGATTTTTTTCTCAAGACTTTGTGTAGACCACAAACGTTAAAAGGTCTTGCATTAATCAGGTGACCAGTAACATGAAATGATAAAAGATCTCTTTCTGATTAGCAGATGGCACCTTACATAGCAGCCTTAGCCATTAGTGCATGGATGGGTGACATGTAGTGTTAAGCACTTTGAGTGATCAGATGACAAGAAAGGTGCTATATAAGTGAAGTCATTTATCATTTAAGTTGATAATACGTTACAGTTTACAGCTTCTTTACGCTGCCCCCAGGTAGCCAAAAAAAGCTAATGCAGGTTTAGTGCAACAAATACACCTTAAAACAAATTACAAATGTCTAACATGTCTACAACGTGCATTTTTTCCTAATCAATCCATATGTTAAAACATAATGGAACCAAGGGTTGAAAATTAGTTCCGATGATGACACCTGAACTTCCTCACTTGTTTTTGTCTTTCTCACTTAATGATGCCTCTCGTCCGTTTGTGTGTGATGACACATTTTTCAGCTTCATCATTAAGCCATAAATGACAGGTCCTCACCTCACACACACACACACACACACACACACACACACACACACACACACACACACACACACACACACACACACACACACCCTCTGCCTCTTTTCCCTTCCTCCCTCCCTCCTTGTGCTCTCTCAGGTCTGGCCCAGTGTGCAGAGCTGTGCTGGCAGCTCCGAGGGCAGGCTGGCAGGAGGCAGGTCCCAGGGGCAAAAGTGGCCTTGCAACACAACATTGGCTTAGGAGGAGCTGTGGTTGTCGCTCTCTACAGGATGGGATTCCTTCAGGAGGCCAGGTGAGTTACCGACAACGTTATTAGTTAATCATTATATTTTATAAGTGATCAGTTGTTGCAGGTTGTGATAATAACACACCAGAGGAAAAGGGCATAGGAGAACGGTTTCTGTATCATGCAACCATTATAGGTCTATTCTTTGCAAGTTGCAGTTCTGCTGCTGTAGATACAGTGTGCATTGTTTACCATGATTAAAGTACTAGATAGCTATTAGCTATATATATAGCTATAAATAATTTTTTCACATTGTTTATTATGAAGCTGTTTTTTCTGCTTGTCATAGTTCCCACGTAGCTGCAGTTCCCACCAGCTCAGGCAGTGGTCTGGAGGGGTTTAAAGCTTACCCTGTCTTCAAAGAGATCGAAAACCGTCTTCATGAGGTAAAACCGCACGCTGTCACTGACAAAAGTCCCCATCACACCTTTAATTGAGTTTTTCTGTTTGATATGATGGAATCAGTATCCACCATCCATCCAGTATAAGTAAAAAATAAGGGTGGTTGTGAGTCAACCTTCTTTCCCTTTTAGCCCAGTGGGCAGTATACAGCCCTTGGGTGCTTTTCAGCGCTTCAGTTTCAGGGCCACGTAGTGTAAACAATTTCTGTCACTGTTCAACAGATATAATACATCATGCTTTGGATGGGCAGTGATTGACATCTCTAAATCAAAAACATTTACAGAACATACATTAGTTCCGCTCCGATCTAATTATTGCACTTTGACGTATTAAAAGAAGATCAGGTGGACCGGTAATTGATGTGCATTAGTGAGGTCAGTTTTTAAAGGATAGGCACACTTTTCTACAAAAAAAAAACTAAAAAGCACCAATTTCTTTTAGATGACATTCGTGATTTAATTGTGATACTTTGATTCATCATTGATCTCTCATTTATAACCGTGCACGTACCTGGGAAGAGGAGAGCTACTTTACAGTAATCATAAGTGGGAGTGGGCCTTAGGGCTGCTATAATGCCTGGAAGCCTTCGATGGCAGGATTTATATATGTGGAGTATATGTTGTTATTGATTTTTAATTCCACTCACTCCTGCATGTGGGCTCCCACTCTCCCTGTGCTGTGCTGTGCTGTGCTGTGCTGTGCTGTGCTGTGCTGTGCTGTGCTGTGCTGTGCTGTGCTGTGCTGTACAGAGGTGGATTAATTCATGGGGAGTGAATTTTAGCTTTAGTGCATTTTTAGAACAGGGACAGAAATCCTAGAACACACTGTTGCAGAGAATAAGTATGAATCTCTACATCTCCTTAACAACACTGTAAACATTAAACTGCATTGCTTTGAGAATGAAGTAGCCATTACAGACAATCAAATCACAGTTTTAACCTTAAAACAGATTCTGACCTTAACCTTAACCTTTCATTTAAAGTATTCTAGTCTCACGTGTGCCTCACTACAGCCATTACATAACAAGGGTTATTTCATGGAACTGAAAAGTCTTCTCGATTACAGGATGGAGAGCAGCTTGTCAAGAAGATTGGTGGAGTGTTTGCTTTTAAAGTGAAGGATGGACCAGGCGGGAAAGAGGCGACTTGGGTCGTGGATGTGAAAAATGACAAAGGTTCTGTCACCAGTGACCCAGGTGGGCAACTAAATAGAAATGTTTCCAATTATTCATCTTGGGCTGTTATTCTCCTACTTTTTGCCTGCTGGAGTTCAAAAGGCAGACTGACATTTTTTATTTTATTTTTTTGACACAGTAGGACCTCACTCTCAGTCCATTTCCACACACCCACCTCTCAGCAGCAGTGTGTACATGCACCAACATATGCCCTTTCTGTCATTTATAATTAAAAGCTTTTCATGTGGTTTTCTCTTTCTTATAGAGACCACACACGTCTGTATTGTGCAAGTAAAACATGCTGTAGAAACCATTGGTGAACAACTTGCTTTGTTTGGCTCTTTCCTTGAAACTCAAAAAAGAAATTGGTTCAATCCGCTCAGATAAGTACTGGTTTAAAACTGAGAAACTCTTCGCCTTTGGAAAGTGTGTCCTCATTTTGACAAGATGAGGGAGTCTTGGCAATACAATGGAGAGGTTGAGGTTGAATTGTGTTTTGGTGTCAGATTTTTTTAGACTGGTTTGGCTGTCTGGATGTGTATTGGATAGTTGCATTTCTACTGAAATACTAGTCCAATAAAGCAATTGAGGTTGTAGACAGTTTGAACAGTCTTCTTCCCAATCACTGGAATTATCTTTTGTCTTCTTTGGATTTAAAGACTGATAAAGCTCCTGCAATGGAAATCAAAGCATGAAAAGAAAAAAAAAAAACTCATCTGTTTTCATCAATTTGATGCTTTAAGCATTTTGATATATTGTCAATATTGTATTCTGCCTTTATACGCTGATTGTTACTGCCACACACACTCATATATTAAACACAAGCACACACACCCAGTCTCTCATAAATAGCTCCCTGACAATTTCTGTTTGGCTGGCTCCCTCTATGATGTTCGCTGGATCTAAGCTATTATTTTAGTTTACCATCGCGCAGGGATGGAAAAAGACTAGAATATTATACTCAAGTACAAGTACATTTTACTCAATTAAAAGTGTACAAATTTAGTCAGAAGTAAAAAGGGGATAAAGAAAAAATGTTAAATGATGATTCCTTTCTCTGTATAGCAGGGGTGTCAAACGGATCTGTGAAAGGGCCGGTGTGGCTGCAGGTTTTCATTCCAACAATGCAGCAGCACACTTGACTTGGTTCATTCAATCAACTGAACTGTCTTCACACAGTCATTTCAGGTGTCCTCTTGCTTGATTGAAACAAAAACTTGCAGCCACACCCACCCTTGATTAAAGTGTGGGTGTGGCTGCAAGTTTTTGACTGTGACTGTGTTTCATTAGTCGTTCAACATGCCCTCGTTCACTTGCCCTCGGCACTCAAAGGTGGATATCACCCACAATGATTGCAGTTTACTTCATTGCCGCTATAACGCTGAGTAAGGGCAAGTGCGTTTCATTTAAATCCCCCGCTCCTCCCCCGCCCACTTTCCCTCCGCGCTCCAAGTGGCCTCCGTGCGACGTATGCTGTTACGTCATACCAAGGGCTGAGGGTAAGTGAACAAGGGGAAGTGGAACTACTAATGAAACGCAGCCTGCGTTTCATTAGTGGTCGGGGGGAGGAGCGGGGGATTTAAATGAAACGCACTTGCCCTTACTCAGCGTTATAGCGGCAATGAAGTAAACTGCAATCATTGTGGGTGATATCCACCTTTGAGTGCCGAGGGCAAGTGAACGAGGGCATGTTGAACGACTAATGAAACGCAGCCCAAGTGAAGACAGTTCAGTTAATTGAATGAACCAAGGCAGGTGTGCTGCTGCATGGTTGGAATGAAAACCTGCAGCCACACCGGCCCTTTCACGGATCAGTTTGACACCCCTGCTGTATAGCCTCAGTAGAATTAACCAGAAATTAGAAAAAAAACGCAATTAAACAAAAATGTCCGATAATAAATAAAAAACTGAAACTGAACAGTCTGTCGTTAAAACGCCATATATTGAAGCAAAGGAGAGGCTGTGTAGTGCACACACACATACACAACAATATGTTGCTTGGCAATGTTTGTTGATTGTGGGCTTGTTGGCCAATCCCACTTGCTCTCAGTCCAGTTCCCTTAATGATGTCAGTAAAGTACTGTAACTGACTCAGGAGGATCTTAGAAAATGAAAGGAAATGTGGCACTATAATATAATCCTATATTCCTATTTGTTGTTTAGCTGTCTTGTCCACAACAGGCTATTTTCAGGCTAAAAAGCTCTAAAACCCTTAGAGTTAGAGTTCAGACTGGAAAAAATGACATACCTGACATATAAAGCTGGATCTATACATATATACTCTTTATACTGCATACTGTACAATGTATGTATGTCCATAATTCTGCACTAAATACTGACTTTTAAAGCTTGTAATGTTCTCTTCCTGTTGAGATAGAGGCATTGATTTATGTTTCTTTATGTAAGACCGCATAGATTGCTCAGGACAATAAGCAATTTACTTTCTCACACACAGACATACGGTTTCTGCCGAAAAAACATTGACTCAATCATATTGATACATCACTATTACAAAGGCTTAAATCATTCCTGTTTTTATGATGATGGAAAAGATTGTATTCTGCTTGTCCTGGAAATCTGCACAGCAGGGTCCATTTTCAGTCAGAATATAGAAGCATGAGTCATAAAGCTTTCTGAATTGTTGCTTCAGTGAAAGGAACTGCGTTTGACTTGAAATATAAGGAATATGCAATAATTTTTTTTACACTAATAGAACATTAAATCAAAATGTCATGTGTACTCTTGAGAGATTTCTATTCAGAACATTGTTGTAATGGTAACTAACATTTGCCTTCAATATTCTTTTGGTTAAGCAGAGGTTAGAAAAAGGCTGCTAAATTGTATGAAACCGCCTAGTAGACACTCTGACAGTATATCCAATCTTCTCCAATTGTACATGACTTTCTTGATCCAATGTCCATATGTTGGCAGAGTAGGGTCTTTACATTTAAACAGTGTCTGTCTGCTGGCCACGAGAGAACAGTACGCCAACATGCTTCTTTCCCAGAAGAAGGCTTCTGAGAGGGGCGTCTGCTGGGGCCACATCGGATGGCTCCACAATTTTTTCAAATATCCTAGAGAATGTCACAAAGATGGTTTTCCAAAGCTGGAGGCTATTCGCATCGATCACAGGTGGGATCAATGACACCTGAGAAGATCTGACTTTACACCAGTGCAGATGGTGCACAACTTTGAAAATTGATAACAGCACGCCTAAGACATTTTAAAGAGGAGAAAATTCCCAGTTTTATTTTCTATCTGCTGTACTGAGTTTCCTATGAAATTGGTTTGTCCAAATCTCTTTCATTTTTAAGTACGTCTAAAGGCGTGAAAGTGTGTTGAGCACAGGTTGTAAATTATGCTCACAGCCTGTTTTGTGGAAACTGAGTCTAACAGAGAAGTGGGAGGGCTACAAAGTTCCGTTGCTGCAGAGAGAGCATATATATATAATTTGTTACTCTGCGTGAAGTTTTAGTTCTGAAACATTTGATATATTTAAGTAGTTATCCATAATAAATACGTTCCTCCATTGCTTTTGTTTCAGGTAAAAAGGCAGACTGCACCTTATCCATGAGTGACGAGGGATCTTCTGGATCTGATGACAGGAAAGTTGAACGCACAAATGGTGTGTATTAACCGACTCTTTGTTTGACAGTTTTACACATGAACAAAATGTAACATTAAACATATAAAAGGATTTATTACATTAACTGTCGCTTACATAACAAAAATATTAATAAAGGTGCCTTTTTATTTTTGTTTGGCAAATATATTTCGTCATAACTGCCACTAAAGTCTCTTTCACACATGAAATTAAGATTGTTTGGTCTTTGGCTTTATTTATCTGCTCTGGTGTTCGCAAAGAGCTCACAAAGAAAAACAACTGATTATGAGCATCAAGGGTCAACTACAACTTGACCTCATAAATATAGGTGAAGAGACGGGGAGCATTGTTACTATCTGCTACTTTTTGTATTTGTTTTACTCTTGTTTTATTGGGGAACCACTAAAATTAACTTAAGTAGGACACAAGCTCAATACACTGGACTCACTCAATATCCTGCACTCATGCAACCAGCAATTAGACATCTTAACCTTAATGTATAGAACCTTACAGCACACACACTGAGGTGCAGTGAATGTAAGAAAAGTCTAGTTGTTCATGTAGTATGTCATATGTACATTATATATTACATATATATATAATATCATTGTGTTTTTTCAATCTTTTTCAAGCGCCAATGATTTTAATTTGTCATTATACAATGCAGGATTTCACAATGAATAATGTAAAATAAAAAACCTTGAAACTTGAAAATGTAACATTTGATAGAAATACATTGATAAAACATTATGGAAAATACATCATTTTAAGATGATGTGATATTACTTGGGACTGAAAAAAATATATAAAGCCTTTACTCAACCAAATTAGAGTTTTTCCCACGTGGATGTCATTGTCCAGTGTTGTGCACATGTGCAACACATCACTTCATTCAGGTTCTAACGTCTGAAGCTTTTAGCCTCTAGCTAGCACTTGGAAAGCTACTTCATTATTTTTTAGTGGGTCCACCTTTTTATTCTGTTAGCACCAGTGTGGCAAACATTTGAACATGTTTATTTCCAGCCCTTAAACCCTTTAGCCCTTATAAAGGCCCCTGACTTTGGGGCTCCTGATAGATAACAATCCACTTACAGCTACACAGCCGGAGGCTAGCAAGCTCCCTTCCAGCAGCAACAAGAAAACAATCAAGCAAACCAAAAATATGAAAACTTGGTTTGTGCTAGTTTCATGTTTGCCGTCTTTGTATCTGAGAAGACAGAAATAAACTGTGTTCAGTCCAGTAGAGATTAATATGAGCTCTGATTGGTCAGTGGACAGCTTATCCTGCCTCCTTCCTTCACTTAACACAACACATAATTAGTGTTGTACTTTGTGTACAGCTGTCAGGTTTTCAGTAGTTTTCTTTTTCAGTGTGTTTCAGATGCATCTTCCAGTGGAGAAAAAAAAAGAAATTGAAAGTGCAATTGAATGAAAAATAAACTTTTATTTTTTTCCTCTGATCTTCTGTCTTCTCAGGCGTTCTTCAAAGGGAAACTGAAGATCTCTGGGAACATGGGCCTGGCTATGAAGCTGCAGAACCTCCAGGTCACACCAGGCAAGGCCAAGCTGTGAGCGAGCTTTGTTTCCTCTGATCAGCACTTCAAGGACAAATTAGTTGGAAAATTTTATCCCTCCTATTGAATTTTGTTAATCAACAAGTTCCTCCAATACTTTGATAGTGTATTTGATCTTGAGATACAGTCCATAAAGTTTCACTTACAGCTGCTACTTTAATATCAGAACACACTGTGTAGTACTTACAGAATTATTAATATCCATATTGCTGGATCTTATACACCCATTATGTTTAAGTCTGATTTAAATTCTGAAACATCCAGTGAGTCTTTAGGAGCTGCTTCATGTCAAAGATATGTGGCACTCCTCAGAGTTTGATTAATCCTGTAGTCAAAACACTCAATGTGCCTCTAATTCCCATCTGTCTGAATGAATCTTGTGGTTTAAAGCCATTTATGGCCTCAACCGTTTTGATAGATCATTTTGTATAGAATATATATCTGTGTAAGGGCAATTATCTGATTTTTAAAAAATAAATAATTTACTGACAATAACAACTTCTGATTTTTTTCCCCCTTAAAGGTAGTCCTGGTCCATAATTATATCTAATTCTTTATACCTCATCATATTGTGAAACAACATTTTGCATTCACATGAGAACTACTCTAACAAATAGTATTTTATTTTAGTACAATACTAGGAAAATATTTGAGTCAATAATTTGCAGTTTTACTTTCTACTTACAATGTCATTATATTTTTGTAGATATAATAAATCTACGTGTTTGGGGAAACTAGCCTAATATAAATAGAAGTTGTTTCTTTGTGCCCCTTTTTAAATTCAGACGTGAATAGAATCTCTTGCATTGACCAGATGCAGCTCCCTGGTGTAACAATGCACCAACAAAATGTTACAGCTAGTTCAGTCAGCAAACTCATGTGGAATAGACAAATATTATGTGCATGTAGAATGTGTACAGTATTGATGTTTGGGGTCCAAGGTCTGACCTTCGCACTCCCCGAACACCAGGCTCAACACAGCAGAGAGTATGAAGTGGCGATAATAATCTTGAAAACCTACAGGTGGATGCTGAGGGGGAGGTGAAACTTTTGAAATGCTCTCTTACAATTTCTGAAAAAAGATAATATGAATGGCTCATAAATGGCTACATAGCTGAGGGAACCCACAGGAAGATCCTCAATATATTGGCTCTCATGGTTATATACAGAAGAATACAGAAACTAGGAAGATACTGAGTGAAGGAAAAACCATTTCTTGCTCAAATCCCATACACAAATCAGTTTTAAAAGAAAGCATCAGTGCTGTTTGAAAGTGGTATTGTGTTTCTCGTCCATGTCCCCATACTCTGTCATTTCTCCACTAGTTTTCACTGGTCGGACAAACAAAGGGATTTCGGCTGGTTTTTTTTCAGCCTCTGTGCCCTACTTCCCTCTTTCTCCATTTTCCCTCCATTTGTCTATTTATTTTTGTGTTGATCCAGACTACTCCCTGTTGGCTCCCCTCCCCCTCCCACCCCCATTCACCGCCCCCCTCCGCCTACTGTGCACCTTCTGCCAGATCCAGCCTGCGTTCCTAATTGCTGCTATCCGGCCAACTCCCTTTAGCCCACCCACCATCCTGTCCGTTTGCCAGGTGGCCGGCTGGCCAAATGGTGATACTCAGATGCTGCCCAATCTGCATGGCTGGCCCGTCTCACTGACCATTAGCACTGGGCTAATGGGTCTTTAGGAGATATACTGTAACCAGCGCAGGGCAAAGGGGTGGGTGAAGCGGAGTGGTGTTAACTGAAGATTTTAAGGCTTGGTTCGCCTCAAGTCAACTTAAGAAGCTCAGCCTGTGCTCGAATAAATAACCTCGGCTCAGAGCTTTCCTAGAAGGTAAAAGAAAAAGTATAAATTGGATATGTTGTATTTAAATGAGACGCCAAACGACGGCTGGTCTTTGACATTTGTTCAGTGGATTGAACTGGTGTGGAGTGGCATCTTTTTTAAGTATAAGTGAGCATGCAGCAGACTGAAATTTACACAGTGGAACAAACATAACCTGTTCTGTCCTTTGACATTGGGACAGAGACATCTACAGTAATAGCGTACAATTATACATAACAATAGAGGAGGTCATTTTAAAGTATTCCTTCAGTCTTTAGAGGTTACTACATCCCTGACAAAAGTTGTAGTTTTCCCAAACCATTTTATCTTCTTTAACGCTACTAATTCCAGTAGCCTTCTTTGAGGCATCTTTGAAATGAGGAAACAAAGAAAATCTTTTTTTCTTTTTTTTTTACTTCAGTGGTAATTCTTAAAAGGGTTTTAATGCACTAAAGATGGCAGCTTTTAAACACCAAAACACAGAAGATGTCCATCATGTTTTCTTTGTGGCCACAACTTTCAATTACAGGATAATAGCAATTTTTTTTATTTTTTTTGTTATATTGCTGCTGCTATGTATCCCTCTCTACCTAAACCTCCCGGAAACTAAGAAAGAAATCATTGTCTTTGTGAAGGTTAGGAGCTTAGCAGGATCTACAGTTGTTATTCAGCTTTTTATAAACAGGAGTGATAGAAAGAGAGCCATTGTGTAACCATAGCAACCTTACTAATGCTTTATGCCATGTTAATGTTTGGTTAAGGATTTTTAAAAATGATTTTCGGTCTATATGTTATTGTTTCATGTAATTATGGACATAATGTAAATTAACACGCATTCCCACTCCTTTACCACATACATTATTGTTTTTACATTTTGTAGTACATGACGACTTACAGCTATTTCTGAGAAATGCTCGGCATGATGTATGTGCCTCTGACGTGTGCAGTTACCTGGTATAATACCGGTAAAAGGTTCTTTAATAAAGTTCTACTCTCTGGACGCTCTCCTTTCTTTCGATCCCATCTGCTTGTCTGCTCAATTGCACAGAGTTATTGTAATTGGTTCACCAAGGTTGCCATGGTAATGATATTTTTCTGACATTTATAACCCAGTCTTACTCCAAGGATACTCTTGTTGTTCCTGCAGCTTTTGCTTTAAATCAGCAGAGCACCCAGTGCTTAGCACACCTTAAGAACTACAAACCCACTCTATTGGCCTGTTACCTTCATGTGTAAGGAACCTACTGTATTGGTGCTGTGTACAGAATATATATTAGCTTTTTTTGAGAGGATTTCTGTGGTTAGTTCCATTATGTTCTTTGGCCATCCATGACAATAAGATATATAATTCTTGATATTAAAACACCATTACAAACGAAGAAAAGGGTGCATGCAAGGGTCAGTGAAATCATTGGTTGATATCATCTTTAGCGTGGAGCTAAATACCATAGGAAACATCAATATGGAGGCCAATTTTTTAATAATCCATCCAGGCTCCCAAGTGCGCTTGGATTGGATTGAACTAGTACTTAATAACTTCTCTTTATTCATTTGACAGCTCAATTGACTTTAGTTTACACAGAGATTTATTCATGTTTGAACAGGACATTTGTTAATAAGTAAACAACTGTTTTTTCTGTATGCCCTCCAGAGAGAGGAGGCAGCTTGTCAAATTTCTACATAGTTTGTTAAATACTTGCACTTTTGCAGTATTTAGTCATTGAATTGTCATATACTTGAACCATTATTGCCCTTGCGGTCCTTGTAACTCAACCCTTATATTCTAAAACCATTAAAAATAACTCGGTATACTATTTGTACATTGTTGATATATTTTTCATTTCTTGATGTTTTCTTTTTAGCAGAGTTGGTACATTTTTATAAATTTTGGACTACGGTGAAATGTTGTTGTTATTTTTTTTTTACAAATACAAAATGGCAGCTCTTAAAACAAACTGACATGGTAGTAAAATCTACATTTGTTTAACTTTTGAAATACATACAGCATATATCATATACATACGGACAGAGTTGGGAGTGTGACCTGTGATTGTTGACTTGTGTTCTTTTGCTGTTGCTGCCTACGTCAGTAACGCACCGGTCCCGTATGCTTCTCCTTTGGTCGTTTAAGGCAAAGAGGGAATACAATGGAGGGCAAAGACAATTTAACATGACACAAGGGCAAACACTCGTCTTCATCGTGACTTTCATCATCTTTTGCCTTGATTCTGGCAGTGACCGTACAGTACTGCAGGTATGAGTACCCACTTAGACTCAGGACAACAAGGCAGAGAAGTGTAGGGAAAGGTGTTGCTGAGAAAGTTGTAAATAATCCCTTCTTTTTTCCTCAAAACAAAATCTGAGACATTGCTTTTCTGAATGTGAACCAAACTGTTGCGTATGTGTGTTAAATAAAGCTTTCTTGTTAAAGCTCAATTATGCTATATTGTCCCATTTTGCCTCTGTGTTGTGCGTGTTATTGAGTCAGTGAATCTATTAGAAAAATGCTCCGAAACAGGCAGAACTTTGCCTGAGTTTCATAACAGAGAACAGAATGACAAAAAAAAATAATAATATACAAAAACCTCAAACAGTATTATGCTAAAAATATACCAAACCAGATCATAATGATGTGAGTGGATGTTTTCTGTTTTTTTCCAGTCCTAGAGGGATATGTTCCTTAAATTATATCTGATATTAGTTATTGTGATCTCCATTTCTGCTCCTTTGAGATGGACTAACTCAACGATCTGGGAGGATGTAAGCGCAACCTTGAACAGGATCAGTTCTTCAGTTTTAAATGTCTGTCAGCTAGAGCAGCCCACTGTCACTGCTGGTACCAAATAATACATTTCTGATAAATATGGACGCACACACATGCGCACGCACACACACACACACACACACACACACACACAACACACACAATCAATCAAATGTGGGTCATTATTTAGGTTATGTAGAAAAAAATATTGTCTTTTTTTCCAGGGTCTTCTGCACTCATCCATTCGGAGGGGGAAAGCGTGTGATCTTAGTCACCTGAAGCTTTAATTTGTCTTCCTCTCCTGCTGGCAATGCAGTTGTGGACGAGCCAGTAGCTGTTGGCAGGGCAGCTGCTTTTATACATTAGTCTCCAGCCCGTTCATATCAACGGAACAGTGGTCCTTGTCTCTGTGCTCTCTCTTGTGATGAGAAGAGTGAGCGTGTTTCTTCTTCTCTATCGGCCGGATCCCCTCCTCCAGCTGGATCAGTCGAGCCACGTCTGGGGAGCGGTGGTCCTGCTTGCTGCCTGGTGGAGGTGGCTGGTAGCAGCCGTTCTTCTGGTTCTGGTAGGTCATCATCTGCTGGATGCTTATCATCGGCTTAGTTTCACAGATGAGAGGAACCTGGTGGATGTGATGATCATGGAGGGGAATAGAACGAAAACAACTGTTACTTTCTTGCCAAGTGTTTCCGAAGAGAAGATTGATACCACTCACTGTCTGTGTGTTAATGGAGCTAGAGCTGACAGTTGGTTAGCTTAGCTTAGCATAGCATAATGACTGGAAGCAGTAGAAACAGGTAGCCTCAGGTTAAAAATTATGCATACTCTAAAGCTCACTATTTAACAAGTTGGATATCGGTTCTGTCTGGAGCTATTTCAGAAGAACCAGACTAGCCATTCTCAGTCTTTATGCTAAACTAAGATAATCGACTACTGGCTCTTCTTCATAGTTAAGGCACAGCCAGAGTGGTATTGATCTTCTCATCTAAGTCCCAGCAAGAAAGCAAATAAGTGTATTTTCCAAAATGTTGAACCTTTAAATCTAATTTTCACAAATAATGACTGTGTTATAAACACTCAACTGCACACCGTAAACCACCTGCCTATCTCTCTTTCAAACCTGTCTTGACCATATATAGATCAAGACAACCCTAAGAAGACAATAAACTGATGGTTTACAACCATTTGGCTTTGGTCTCACCTGCTCCCCTTCTTTGACAAAATCTTTTCTGCAGATATGAGCCATAATGCCTGTGGCCAGGGCGTCACCCATCACATTGACCATGGTCCTGAATCGATCCCTAAATAATAAAATCAAAAGTCATATGCAATGTTTATGAAGCTGGGGAAAAGATATCATTCATAAAAAAAACATGTCAGTGATGTCCTTAGAGCTCATAGAGTCCTTTGATACACGGAGATATTGAACAATGTTAATGCAATGTAGAGGCTTGTAATATTCAAAATACTTTTAGTATGGTACTTGTGCACTGCCGTATATTTTGCTGATTGCATCTATATATGAACTCCAGCTAAGTCGAGTTAGATTCACATTTACTGGAAGACTCTTAAAATCATAAACATTTTCAAATTGGTGGCTTTGGTTGTGTTGAGCTATTCATGATGAAGAGATTAACCCTCACTTACAAAGCCCAATCAACAGCAATGATCAGAGTAATGTCATCAGTGGGTAGACCCACAGAGGTCAGCACGATCACCATGGTTACGAGTCCGGCCTGTGGGATTCCTGCTGCACCGATACTGGCTGCAGTGGCAGTGATGCTGAGAGAACAAGCAGAGGAGCAGAATACGTTTATTTTTTTATAACATTCAAAAACAAGTCTTCATCAAAGTGTATATGATCTTTCTGAACAGAAGGAAGAGTGAAGGTTAGTTTGCGAGGGGTATAAGTGCATTTGTAAAAGAATGGATGTAAGGAACAGTTTTGAGATACTCTAGTCGGCCCCTCCACTCCACTGCTTTTCAGTGTGCAATATCGTACGTTTTACTCCCCTGCATTTATTTGACAACTATAGTTACTTTGCAGATTCACATAATATTATTATATTACACATAAAACACATCCGCTTACTACAGGGGTCACTAACTGTGGTTGCGCTGCAGCCTGTTTTTCATTTTGTGACCTTGTGACAACAGGTAGCATCCTCACACAGATTTAATGTAGTGCTGAATTGTGGAAGTTGGACAAAGACAAAGATACTGATGACCTTTAGTTCATAACAGGTATATTTTTTGTTGGGGGCGGACAGAGTATATTTTTTTGTTGGGGGCGGACAGAGAAGCGATGAGGAATAGTTAAACAAGTAGTTCAAGGTAACCGCCCGTTTACTAATGGCAACCACCTCTTAAATACCGCTGCAAACATGACAAGCTCTCCATTCTAAGCTAGAATTTACTTATGTAGAGGCCGATGTCTGCCTCAATCCATTTATTCTGTTAATCGCATTTGATCGCCTGGTTGCGGACTTGCCCTGCTGCCCAGATGTTTTTCCTGATGGGCGTTGCCAAGGCGTTTTTGAAATGGGAGAGCCTGCAGCAATGTACCTGTGTGATTAGCCCCTAACACAGCACATTTGCAATTTATTTATTGAAAACAGTTGCAAATTTTTAATTAAAAACAGCTGGTTAAATTCATCATAATCTTTTAGACAATGAGTCTAACTTCACACATTTCTATCCAAAAATAAGAACTGTCACAAGCAGCTAAAACTCTGTGAGTTAGCTGAAAAGTCTGTCTTCAGCTGACATCTTTGAAGCGAGAACCCTGAGGAGGAGGTATGTTTCTTTTCTTTTTTAGCCCTACAAATAGTGCAGTTAGCTAACAACATTAACCCTGGCCTTTGGAGGAAACACTCATTACTGTAGGAGCTAGTTAGTTAGAGCAGCATGCTAGCATTTGTGGCTTCGAGCAGTTGAAAACATGGATTAATCCAATTGTACTATTGGTTTTGGATAGGCAAAAAATAGACATCATGTTCCTATTTCTAGGTCTTACTACAGCTCCATGTACACTGTTTTCTGCATGTGGAGAAATTGAAAGCTTTAGCATGCAGATGGAACAGCTCTACAGTCGGCAACCAAACGGCATGGGAACAGGACGCAGAAAGAGGGAAAAATGATTATAATTCTGGCGTGACAAGGGAGATGAGTAATACAGGTCATATGGGTTTTACCGCCAAGGGATTATGAGGGAATGGGCACAGACTGTAGCCATGAGGAGAGGTCCGCTTAATGTTATTACAGTAGAACATGTCAGGAAATCAGAGGAGGAACATTACATTTTCCTAGACCTGGGGTGGGCCACAGGTAATGTGGTTGAAAGTTTTAGGCTGGTGGTGTTGGTCGAAGGGAGACTGTTGGTGTTTTTTCTGTCTGTCTGTCTGTCACTCTGCCTGCCTGTCTGTCTGCCTGTCCCAGGGGCTTCCAGACTGATTTAGCAGAAATCAGATCAGACTAAGAAGCTCATATGAGGCGTAATCTGTGTGACATTTACATATATGTGTATCTAGTAAATCCCATAATATTTTTTATTAATTCAGAATTAAACTAAATGTGTGACGTTAGATTAATTTACATGTTGCACTCACCACTAGTATGCCTGCACCCTTTTTGACCCAGATGAAATATGCTTACATTGTCAGACTTTGGCAGGGTTTTATGTGCAGAATTTTTGTTGCGATAAGAATCTGTCCAAAGAGTTGTTGATGTTAATTATTTCAAAGGAGTAGTTTGACATATGCTTGCTGAGAGTTAGATGAGAAAAAAGACAAGCCCTGGGACACTGGAGTCTACATTTCTCATAATACAACCTAATAGCATCTTTCATTAGGTAAATGTCTTTCAAACGCCATTACCCCCTGTTTGTAATGGAGGCTTTCTGCTGAAAATGTGCAGAAGGTAACCCTGATGACATCATTAGGGTTATTTTTTTTAGGCTTATAGAAAGCTCTCTCCAGATTCACAAAAGATCAAAACATCTGTTTTTACTAGCTGAAAAAGTGAATGAACTGAACCCATCCACTAAACAACAAAGTCAACAAAATGATAGAAACTGCTGTTAAAATAATGTTAAGCAGGTTGCTCTCCTAACACCTATTTCATAAAGGAGGCAGAGTGCTATCTACTTACTTTTCTGACCTCCCTCACCCACTGACATTGATTATAGTTTATGAAATTTTCCATGAAAAGCCCACTTTGATAAGCCACTTCTGGTCTAAAGAAGGTCTAGGAAAAAAAGCCTTACCTGATCGTGATGATCTGTCCAAAGTCAAGCTCATAATTATTCACTTGGGCGATGAAGATGGCTGCCACGGCCTCGTAGAGTGCAGTGCCGTCCATGTTGATGGTGGCCCCGACAGGCAGCACGAAGCGGATGATGCGTCTGTCGATGTGGTTGTTCTCAAGGAGGCACTTGAAGGTGATAGGCAGAGTGGCAGAGCTGCAGCAAGAAAAAGATAAATAATTACTGACAATAAACCTCTTCTGTGATAAGCAGTGTTGATGTATGATAATCAATTATATGATATCATTAAATGCGTCTTACAGGAGTTGCTATCAATGGAGTAGTAGATGTGTTGTGACTCACCCACAGTGCTGTAAAACTGCCTAAATCTAGTGTACTTATGTGTCAATGTATTTATATACTGGATTAATTGTGAGGAATTGTGTCAAAGCTGTTGATATTAGGACCAAAAAGTATGTGAAATTATTTTGAAGGGGCCGATGCTAGTCTTGAGGTGGAGTTACATACAAGAACATATGTGAGTAAACTTAACATTTAAATAGTAAAATAAATTACAAAAAGAGAGCCCAAGAGCAAGTATGCATGCAACTGTGATAACAAGCTGCAGACAATTCAGGTTTGTTTTGTTATGCGAGGTCTGAATGCTGCAGATCAGGGATCATTTTATTTCATTTAATATTACCTCTAAATTAGCTGCTACACATAATGACACAACAAATGGGTACACACTGCAGGAACCTTTGTTGCTGCAACAGGAGAGCATTTGGATGGGATGTGTCAAGAAGGTTGTAAACCAGGAGTGAACTCACATGTAATGCTTTTCACCCCTTTGAAAGGCTACAAGGTAGAGTATTGTTGGAAAGGACCTATATATAGATGTATAAGGTTAAGAGGGTCACGGTGAAAACCAACAAACATTCATTCCTTCAAGGTGAATTCCATTGTCCAATCCATTTACACTAGCAATGCAGTATAAAAGCATATCTACTCTGACTCTCGTAGATGCAGTTTTGCTGACATTAAGCTAAAGGTTGTTATTATTTCAGCACTCATTGCACACAATTTGTCCTGGGAAACATGACAGAAACAGTCAAAGTCAAGTACTTACATTTTCTGAAAAGCTTGAGCACTTTTCAGAGTCTCAAATAATCTCATATAATAACTAATTCATATTATACAGGGAAATAAAATAGGGAAAATGTAGCGAATTTGAAGTGGTTTTATTCCCCGCTACATGTTTGGTCGCCACATTTATAAGTACCAATATTAATACATACATTTGCATCCACTTTTACCTGGAGGAGGTGGCCAAGGAGATGAGAAGGGCCTGCAAAATGCCTCTGATGTAAACAATGGGGCTCTTCTTAGTGATGAAGAAGTACATGGCCGGGAGGATGAATAGGCCGTGCAGCACTAAGCCCATCACCACCGTAATGGCGTAAAAACCCAACTTCTTCCCCATGGCGGAAGGGTCGTCCATCTCCAAGATCTTACCGGCAACCAGAAACACAATCCCAAAAGGGAAATACCTGTGAAGGAAGGAAGGAAGGGAGGAAAGAAGGTAGAGTGCATGTTCATAAAATGAAAGCTACAACATTGGCTTTTATTTAAAATTAGAGTATTTCCCATCATGTTGTAGACAATCATTTAATTTTCAACAAGCCTTCTACAGCCGTGATAGTAGTCACGTGAAGCTGTACTTCGGCACAGTGGTGCTTTAAGCTGAATGCTAACATGCTCAAAATGACAAAACTAACAGGTAGTTAGTAGGTATAATGTTTACCATGTTCACCATCTTAGTTTGACATGCTACTTAGCATTAACACAAAGTACAGCTAAGGCTCATGGGAACACCATTCATTTTAAAGGACTAGTGTGCAGGATTTAGTGTAATCTAACGGTGAGGTGAAGCTGTAATTTGCCACCAACTGAATACCACTCGTCTTCCAAGCGTGTAGGAGAAAATTGCTAACGTTTCGTTCTAGGCTACTGTAGAAACATCATGGTTCAACATGGCGGACTCCATAGAAGAGGAGCTCCTCTCTATGTAAAAAAAGCCGCTCATTCTAAGGTAACGAAAACACAAAGATTAATAATAAGGATTGCCAATGAAAACATACCTATGAATATGAGGGTATATTGCATTTTTTCCAACAGATCCTCCTAAATCTTACACACTGGACCTTTAAAGGTATTTGGACAGATTTGACCAAATGTTTTAGCGCTGTTTCCATTCAAGTTACAACTCTTACCAGATAACAATGGCAACAATCTTCAAAACTGCCTCATTCAAACTCTGACAGAAGTTGACCAAAGCACTTCCATTGGGTCCCATTCTGCCCAACATTATACCTGGATTGAAGAAAAAAACATTTGTGTTGCATACATTGCTTGATAATTGCATCTGTCACACGTCTAATGATAAAAATAGAAATAGACGAGTATGTAATTGATTGTTGTTTTTCCACCCACTTACCCATAGTAGCGGAAAAAATAACAATCCCCAGCACATTCATGCCTTCGCTGGTACCAGGTGACGTTTTCATAATGACATCAGGGGGCGGTGTCAGATCCAGGGAGAAGTTCTGGACGTCTGTGCCATTGTCATCCTGGATGCCGTAGATGTAGACCCTGCGTGTGGTGGTCTCATCCAGGAGCTGAGCCAAGGTTGGTTTGGGGATGAGCTCGGGGACTCTTTGGGTTCGATACTTGAAACCAAAGCAGAGCACAGGTAACAATATCAGCACAGTAAACATGACGGCAACAGATATGTTGAATGCAGCAGACGTGATAATGACACGTGTGGGCTCATATTATTGATGTTAACATTGTAATTAGATCATTCACATTAGCCAGGCAAGCTGTTGCCCTCTGTTGTGCTAAGGTAAGCCAACCATCTGGTTACTGCTGGCTCTAGCATCGTATTAAATGTACACACATCTTCTCATCTAACTCTCGGTAAGAGTAAATGTATTTGCCAGAATGTCAAACTATGCTTGTTTTTTTTTAGTAGTATTTTTTGGGGCTTTTTTTGCCTTTATGATAGTGACAGCTGGAGATAGACAGGAAAGGGGGACAGAGACAGAGGATGACACACAGCAAACTATGCTTGTTTTGAACATATTGTTTCTGTTTTTTAGGAACTACAGTATGTTTTCGTTAAATATTTTGCTTACCTGTTGAAAAGTTGCTTGAACCAGGTTGGCTGGAAACATGTTGCTGGGGAAGATAATTTTGAGAAATGTTAAAGTCCTTCAGTGGATGGCAGATATACAGTATCAGTGTATATATAGAAATACATTCACTAACAACAACCACGCCATCCAATGTATGAAATAAGAAAAGTTTATTGCACATAATAAACAAATGTGAACCGGTGTGGTATACTGAGGGATGAGGGATGAAGGGATGAAGGATGGACGTAGGGGAATGAGGGATTGAGGAACGAGGGATGGAGGAATGAAGGTTGAGGAAGGAAGGTCGGTTGGCAGCTCGATGTATGGATGTAGGGGTTCAGCGCGATGTAAGAGGGAACTGAGTGGGTTGCGAGATACTGAGTGGGGGAGCTGTCTCTTCGTATGTCTTGTAGAGAGCCCCAGTGATTCCTGTATTTATCCAAATAGAGAGGGAGAGAAAAAGAAAGGGTTTGGGTGGGAGGGATGTAGAAAATGAATCAAGGAGGGAGTGAACAGATAAGGTGTGCTTAAGTAAGTTTGAGCGGAAATTAGATGATTGCAGGGCGTGGTCTTTGTTCCCGAAACCTAGTTATAAAACATCATTAAATAAGTTTAAAAAAGTGTCCTTCACATATGTCATTCATAGTCACAGCACTGATACAAAGCAATGTAATGTTTGAATAAGGGTAAACACTGACTCATCCCTCAGTATAAAGACGTATCTCTGTATTATTGTTCATGAAACCAACAGATGCAATATGTTCATGGCCATAAAGACCCTGTCAACTGCAGCATGATCTTATTCTTTTTGGCAGATTTTGATCATATTTCCTCCCTTTGTTATTGGCCTACTTTCAATATGTAGAAAGTATATAGGCATTGGCACATGACAGCATTCTGCATTGATCTTGGCTGATGAAAATCTTCATTATTTCAAAAACTGAAAGCTGCTCAGATAGTAGGTACACCTTAATAACTGTCTTTAAAAGCTCACTCATATGAACAAGCGCATGTTGAGTGCTCTGTGTGCCAAGGTTTACTGCAGCTTAGAAGACTCTGGTACTCAATGATACTTTAAGGGGGCAGGAAGGGGTTAAGCCTGAAGATGAAGGGAGTAGGTACATTAGGAAAATATGGGCAAATTGAATGGAACAAAGGAAAAATAAGTATATCTGGAGTAGAAAAATGGATACCCAACAACCCTCAAAGAGAGAGCTAAGATGAAAACTTGACTAGACCAATCCTAAAGAACTAAAATAGTGGGAACTATACGGTAAGTGATTATATGTGCAGTCATACTACAAGACATATATACACTACTTTTCAGTGTGGAATTGATTGTGAATTTCTCGTAGGTGCTCTACCTTCCTCCCACAATCAAAACACATGTAAGTTAAGCTAATTATATGCTAAATTGCCCTTGATGTTCGTAGGATATAGTTCAGCCCCCTGGGACCCTCCCTGCACAATATAGATAATGGATGAATATATGGATGGACATAAATACTGCAATGACTGTAATTTAATTTTCATATATATGCTGTATGCTTTTGTTGAATTAAGATAATTAAATGCAACCATACTGCTACAGAGACCTTGTAGGCTTGTAGTGCTGTAACATGGCAGCAATTCCAAACGCCACAATAGCACACTGATGACGCTAGAATAATTGTTCCAAAGACTGAATGAGAATAATGTGAATGTCTCTGTGATTGCTAGTTGGAGGCTGTGGCTCAGGTCCACATGTTGAAGTGCACATAAGCAAAGTACCCAACTCCAATTGTCCGAGAGGCACATTGTAACGCTCTTTGGTATTTAAGCTCTGAAATATTCCATTTACTAATAATGAAGTTAATATTTGAACTAAATATTGTTTTACAGTGCAAACTAAAGCCAATATAATAATGTAGTAAATCAAACAGAGTAGAATGAAGCTTAGTTGAGATATATAAAACCCTAAATGGTTAAAATAAAAATTTCAAAGTGGAATTTTATTCAAAGTTTTAGAATGAGGATTACACAGAAAAAGATTCTGTAATAATTACCACTAATTATTTTCAAGTTCAATCAAATCAAGCTAAAACAAACCATTTCATCAAAGTTAAGGAATCAATTTTAACTGTAAAGAGTATTTTCTTTTTTGATGTGACTGAATATAGGAGTGCACTATTGGTTTTCCATGTTTCCAAGTATTGCAAGATCTGCTCTTCTCATCATATGCAAAGTGAGATTGTATATCCCACCTAAGGATATTAGTATAAGCCATGGGATTTCCCACCAACATGGGTCTGAATTACTCCTGGTAGTTATGTTAGGAAGCACGTCAGCAGTGGTGCACAACTACATCACTCATGGTCTAACACATTTACTCCTCTGGAGGACACAATGTAAAACAAAATGACACTGCAGCTTATGTCTGTGAGTTGGTTGCCCCAGTGCATGCTGGGAAGTTTCTGTTCATGCCTACCTGACTCCAATAATACATTTAATATTTTTCCTTCACTGCCAACTTTATTTATTCCAAATAATAAATAGCACATTAGTCATACTAAAATTAAAAAATCTATCTAACAAATTATTTTAGATGGTTTTTAAATTGATTTTAGATGGAATTACAAAATATACATTTAATACATTTAATTAATTTGTTATACATTCAATGGGGCGATCAAATTCATTGAGTGTAGTATGAAGCACACTTTGTTTGTGGTTCAGCATGCTGCTTTTTACTAGAATACATTATGTAGCACTCTATATGCAGAGATGAGTGTCTGACAATCACAACAGAATCAGCATTGCATTAGCGCCGGCTGTAAATCCCACATCAACATACAGCTCAAATCACAATCAAAAAAGCATTTCAGATGAAGAGAGATTTAAAGCACATATTGTATTTTACAGTTTGACATATGGCAAAGATATACAGAGGCAATATGGTGCAACTCAACGGACTATAGTGTGTGTTCTGCACAGATTTGACCACTTAGCCATTCAGCAGCCTATCCTAAGACAGAGCAAAGTAGGCTAATGAACCACTCTGACCCCAGTGCCCCTAATAAATCCAAGTATGCAAATATTCATACATATTATGCTCATTATACTTATCACACACACTCACACACACACATAACTGCAGGCACTGTTGGGCCTATTTGTGAGTGTACCGATATAGTATGCCTGCATGATAGATGAAGGCTGTAAAGAAGCTTTGCGAGATAAATCCAAAGCACAGCTGTGCTCTTTAAAACACACACACACACACACACACACACACACACACACACACACACACACACACACACACACACACACACACACACACACACACTGAGATCCCTTGAACGACAGAGCTTCACCTCTGCCACATGATCAGTACGTAGTTGGATTTCATGGGCTTGGCCAGTTTATTACTTCCCTTTTTTTTACATTCTGATTAAAAGTGAGTCATTCAAATACAATTTATACTTAGTATGATTTTATTTTCTCAGATATATTAAAAACAATACCAAAATCAACAGAGGATGAAAAGTTTACTTTTTAATGACTTAACATGAATTCTTTTTCAAATAAAATTGTGGTTTATAATTAATCAGCCTCAGAAACTTAAATGTCTTGGTGGTGGAGCAGCTCTGTGCATTACAAGCTACTGGCTTTATCCCACTAACCGACTGTCACTCTGACACAGTGGCTCTAAAGGCCTCACAGTCTCACTGCAGGGCTGACCCAGGTTCACCTCAAACACACCCACTGCATCCCTCAGCAGCGCTAATTAGCTTAGCGCTATAACCTACTGGCACACGAGGCTCCAGGCTTTACGATCTGACCCCGAGAATTTCCCTGACTTCATGGAACAGCACGCAGAGCAGGACATATGTACAGGTGTATATATATATCACAGGTGTTATTTCCTGCTGACATTAAGTTGGCTCACAATGTAATATAATGTTGTAAAATGATAATTTCCCCCTATACTCTGCTTTCATTAGTGCTGTAGTTGATAGACAATCTTTTTAGTCATGAATTAGTTGAAAATCTAACCAGCTTTTAAAATGTTGGTGTCATATTACCTTATATTTAATTTTTTTTTTAAATCACATGATTACACACAATAGACATCCAACATATCTTCCATATACAACAAAGGCTTTATATTCCCAGAAATTCACTGGCCTGCTGTCTTGTGACCCTCTAAGCAATGCTTACTCATGACTTCTTGTCAGAGGTTGCCTGTCAGCAGTGCCCCGTGTTTCCTTTTGAGATGGCATTTTGGAAGAATTATAGAAATTAACTGAATTTTTAAGTAGCTCAATCATCAATACTGAGTGAAATACTATTGTCTTAAGGCTGGCATAACAGCAAATGTATCAGTGTTTCACAAAAAAAGTGACTTCAGTCTTTATTCTATGTTTGATACTTAAACTGCTATACAAGAACTTCATTGTCTGCATCACTGGAGTCTTGTCTGTATATTCATGCAAGTCATTTGCCTATCACTCTCTATGCAGGTGTGTGTGAAAGCTGCTGCACACCTGGATGATGAGCTAACCGACACTGAGAGTGTAATAAGAGATATGTGACAGTCTCTTACCGAATGAGATCCAGCAGAGCGTCAGCAGAGCTGGTCATTGGCTTCTTGCTTTCCTCAGAGTCCTCCTTCTGAGCAGCTCCGCCCGGGTGGATGATGTATACCATGACGATGCCCACTACCACGGCAACAAAGGTGGTCCAGAGGTAGTAGGAGATGGTCATGATGCCCAGGCGACTGGAGCACTTGGCGTCCAAGGCAGCTAGACCTGACATCAAACTGGGGGATGGAGAGGAAGTGGAGACAAAAAGACAGGCAGGGAGGTAGAGGTTAATGTTATAAGTCGAGAAAGGACTTTATCAGTCCACTGTTAAAGAACTGCCTTTGTTCTGCCTCCATTTTCAGGAGAGGATTTGAAAAATTAACTTCAGTTTCCCTGCAGAGGCAGGCTGAATAAAAGTGTTAGCTGATTGGCATGCTGTTGCAAATGTTCAGTGAACTAATTTAGTGTTCATTTGCACTTAAAGTATTTATAGAGAAAAGAAACCAGTGACACAAAATTGTACATTTAAGCTGCAGGTTACTGAATATATTACTGAGTTATATGCTGCCATGGTTAGATTATACTATATAACTCTTACTTCTGTCATTTTTTATATCTTTTGGAAAATACATGAGGTAATATAGGTCTTTCACAAAACTGTCACATGTGCATTATGAGGAAAATCAATCTAACTTATATTTAAAAGTGATTTATGTTCAATATCCATCCTAATAACATACTTTATGCAAACCTTCCATCAAGGCTTCAATGAGGCGTTTGATCATACAGCTTTGACATGATAGCACCACTTAGCCAAACTGAATTGGCCTGTTTTCAAACCAAAGAACTTGCCTCTGCCATCTCAGATAAGGCAATCTGTGTCAGTGAGAAAATGGCAGAATAAAGCAACAAACGTAATGAAATTTTTTTCTGTCTGTCTTTGTCTCTCTGTCACTTACTCCTTTGCTTTTACTTGTGAAATGTGAATCTAGCCATTCATGCCACTCTCTTCTCGGTCACAGAAAGCCTGAGGGATGGGGATAAACAACTATAATCATAAACATTGTGAACAGAAGAGAGTCATTTGCATTTAAATGGGCTGCTTTGAATAGTCCTCCAGTTCAGATATTCATTTCCACTGCATGGTGACATCTGTTGAAATTTTCAACTCATACTATACTGTTTGCACCTCAGATGGAACAGAAAAAAATGGCAGATGTTCTTTGTTGGAATTTGTGTGAGAGGGAGCTGAAATGGTGGCATAGCAGGAGGGTGGATCCAGTGGAATTAGGAATTCTCTTGAGCTGGGGTGACAAGATTTCCTCCCTGTCCAAAATGTAATCTGGTTTGACGTGGCAAGTGTGTAGATGGGGCTTCTGAGACTACGACTACAATAACTACTACTCAGAGAAAATAATGGCAGTTTTCTAACCTACTGAATCTTCTGTTGACCTTGCACAGTACAAAAGCACACAGAGAAGTGCATCACCGCACTGCTTTCCTTCTCATGTTGAGTTGAGCTAAGTCTTTCCATAAGAACATTTTTTTTTCTTGTAGTAGAGGGCATCATTAGTTTGTAAATTTATACCACTCCTTCATACTTTCCTCTTCACCTACATCGATACCTTTTTTTCTGTCCCCTCATGTAGTGAACATTGCTCTTCTGAAGACATCAAGATATTGTACTTCATACAATATCCTTTTGACCCAAAACATCACCAAATGTGCCTTTTGCTTTGCTGATATTTTTTACATGGACCTGAAAAGCACCATGCCCTTCTTGACGAAATTTGTTTTGTTGCTACCTTTTAAATGCATTCTCACTGAGCTGAACACTTGTAATGTGCTTCCATCACTGTGCCATGCACCACTCCCATGAATGACCCATGGTATGACTGTAATTTGAATGCAATTAGCAGCAAATTGCTGCCTATGGCACTTGGAACACTTAACTGCATAAATTAGTGCATAAAAGGATTATTATGGAGTCAATAAGTATGAAAACAGAGGAAGTGTGCTTGATTAGCCAAGAAGCAGTCACCACCATCATGATTTGAATTCTCATCACAGATATTATACACTGCAGCAAAGAGACTAATGTGCAAGTTAAAATGATTCCATCCACCATGTTGTTTCCATCTATTAAATAGAAGAGCTCTTGAAATTTACTGCCAAAGGTGTTTTTTTTGTTTGTTTGTTTTTGAGTGTTTTGATGTGACTGAAATTACAATGCCAGAAAGACACACAGCTGTGATAACTAAGTCGCTTGACCTGCGCAGGTCAAGGACGAGACGGCCTCCGAGCAGAAAGTAAATCTGAGTTAGAATGACGTCACAACAAAACAATAATCTTCCGGGAAATGGCAGACAAACTGTTTCAACTGATTTGTGCTGCATTGTGTGTCCAGATGTTTGGAGCAGAGTTGACCTGACTGTTTTTTTCTACACTGAAACTCTTTTGGAAACCAGTAACTGCAGCCAAGGGATCAAAATGGGAAAAAAATTACATTTCCTATTCCAGGGATTTACCTCATGACCTCCTCTGCCCTGCTCTGTGCATTTAAATCTGATAATAACATAAAATGTTGTATTTTTGATTTTGAGTTATTGATGTGCTACTGGTTTTAGCTGGGAAACTGATATAAACTGATAAAAACATCAACAGTAATACATAATTAAAATATGAAAGATCTTTTAATTTAATTGACAATTTATCCATCAAACTGGGAACATTTTCTTTTATCTCATAATTATTTAAATCAGATGCTGTTTCAGATTCAGAGTTGCAGATTACTTAGAAGTTTTAACATTTTATTTGTATTTTATCTAGTTTGAGCAGATAAGTAATTGTAATGTGTTCTGTATTTTAAACGGATTAAAACTTGCGGTTTGCTTTGAATCACCCACTGACTGATGAAAGCACATGATCATACATACTGTATTTCCTTCCTCTCTAGTTTCAAGTCTTCTTCCATACATTATGATGTTCATATAGTAAATTATGGTCAAATTTAGAGTAAAATAGACGATAAAGTTGTGTATGATTTTGTGCGTGGCTACCATGTGACTGAAACTCAGATCAAACTGTAAAACTAGGTTTCTGTTTCTGTTTTCTTTTACTGCATTGCCTATTTCTCACCTAAAATCGTTCCAGAAACATTTTTGTATGTGACCTGACGAGCGGCCATTGTTTCCTGCTACAGACAAGTAAAAAGTGCGCAGATTATGAGAGCAGCTCAATTTGCAGTACGTCACCTTCGCTGGCTCCGTCTAGCTGTTTTGGCAACGGCCAAAACTTGAGGGTTCAAAAGGGTACTTCACAAACCAGTGGGTGACGTCACGATAGGTTCACACTTGTCTAAAACACTCAACATAGTTGCCAAGAACTGCAGAGTTGGTGATAACTGGGGGCATGCGGATGTACATCCAAGCCTACATGCATTCACACACACAACCTGTTTGTGATAGGCCATTCCCATTACCACACCCCTTTTTTGCTAATTGTCATGAACACAAACACACACCTTCACACACACACAGCTTAATGCAAAATTTTAGTCCTAGGACGTGTCTGCCAAAGGGTGAGGACATTTTTACGGACTGAACAACCTACAGAGCGAACTGTAGAATTGTGGTTGAAGCTAAAAATATTAATTGTAAAATGCCATGTCTACTCGTGATGTTCTGGGAAAGAAAAAACATGCAAGATAAATCACAAATAATAGTATCTTTCTTATCCATTTAATTATCTTGGGACCCCTTACATTTTTCTTGGGACCCAGCTAATAGCTACAAGTAAATGTCTTTCAGTAAACTCCGTAAATCCCTGAGCACTGATGCAGAGAAAGTCGAAAGAGACAAATGAGAAATGTTGCATGCAGAACAATCTGAATCTGAAGGTTTTTGCTCACAGGGATTGCGTTTACATACGTTTACTTTATTATTTGACATCTTGGCCTTGTGTAAAGATACAATGTATGTATTATTATCAACATCCAACATTGTAACATTATATGACAGGAACTAATGAAAAGCAAGTCCCCTTTAAACTGATGTCACAGCAAGAGGAAGATAGTCAACATATGACTGTGCTGAATTAAAATGTAATAATAAACAACAACTATATCTATATCCAAATTTTTCTTATTCTTTTGGTGAAAAAAATAAAACTTTGCAAACTCATAGGAACATATACTTTTAGTGCACTTAAGCTGTTGCTTCTCTGTGTCTTATTGACAGGAATGTGAATAATGGACTGGATGATATTGAACACAGAGTATCTATTGAGATCTATGTCCTTATCTCATTTATGTGAGTCAAGGTGAGATTACAGTATGTGACCTGCCATGTGAAGTTGCTTCGATCGTGAGGTTTCGAGCACACGTACAGCACGATTTTTGACCATCTGGGGCTTACAGTCCTTCCTGCTGCACCTACACTGAGCAAGAGCATTACAGTAATCCTTTGTCGAGACGAAAAAAAGAAGGCCGAGGCTACTTGGAGATGGGTTGCCCATGACATGTGGTAGTGACACTGTGGCCTTCCCTTTGGGCAGCTCAGGTCATTATAAACCATATTGATATTCTACCAGCATAACAGAATATACTATGTATTATAAATGTTTCTATATAACAAACTGTGCTGTGTTAATGGAGGACTGCACACTGTGTTCATGGCTTTTCAAACCACAAGGTTGTCAACAATCTCTGCTCCTCTTTATGCTGCTGAGTACTACACTTCCTATCTCCACTTTTAGATTAGCTGACGCCATCTGGGAAGTCGTCATTGGAAACTATTTGGAAAAGGGGAGGCGCTTTCAAAAATACTCAGCGTAGGCAAGTGAGTGTATGAACCAACTACCCATCAACTTCTCTCACAGGCAAACTTCAACCAATCAAATAAATGAACAGAGTAAGCCAGAGAAGAACAAAAACATCTTTTCCCTGAGAAAAGTATTCAGTGCCGTTCCCTCCAGTTGCACCTTTTCAGGAGCCCCTGTTGTTGTTTTTGAATGAACATCGTTTTTTACAGGGTCACACAGCTAGTTGTTCCTCATGGGATGCTGATAGCTTGAAGCCTGGCTAGATTTTGTGAATTTTGTGAGTCCAGCTGCCTCGCAAGGTAACAGGGACAGGTACAGTGCTGTGAAAGTGGTACTTTTATAGTACTGTATTTATTTTGCTCTAAAAGCTTGGTAATGTAGCAACTATTCACTAGTGTGGTAGAGTTTGATTCCAACCCACCACCCTTTGGTACATGTCATCCTCCCTATCTCTGTAACCACTTTACTGTCTTTCCTCCAGCTGCTCATATGAGAAATAAAGGCAATATAAGCATAAAACATTATCTTATGTGGGTCGAAGTTTACCTAAGTTGAACTTCACACTAAAATGAGCATGTTATTGCTGATCATAAATTCTGTCATGATGATTGGAATTAATTGCACGGCTGCAACAGCCATAAACCGTTAAGCTCACAACACAAGACAAAACACACTTCAGCAACATGATGTCCAGCAAATGAGATCTAAATGTTTTATGAGACATTAACAAGTTGTTTCAACTTCCTTTTAACAAGATCTGGCTTTGAAATTTTATTCGTGTCAATGTTGTTTACTCTATTGCAGTATTGAGTATTGCAATTCATAAATGTGTCTGACAGCCACTAGTTAATTGTTCGTCATTGGCATCATAGACAGAGTTCTTGATAAAATATATAAAAATCATTTCATAATTTAAAATGACCAAAGCTCCTCTTGCAGTACAACCAGCAAAACAAATTAGGCTGCATTAAGCTGGAGAGATGCACACGCGCAGGCTGACAAATAACCATCACAACATGACTTGATGGGCACACGGATTGTGCTCAGTCTCCCTGAGTCACCCTGACATCCAGTGAATGGGTAAAAGGACTTAAATTTGAAGCTATAATCAGAGTCCTTCACACTCTATGCACTCGTACATTAGCATTTTCTCAAGAAAATTACTGTAGCTCATTTCATCTGTATATTCTTCTTTTAGTCTGAGAAATATTCACCAGGAAATATCTGGCTACCAAGCCTAATCAGCGACAAGATAAAACCACATGATTAAAACTTCCACATGTGAAATCTAAAAACATGGGGGACGATATGAAAATCAGAACAGGCTGCCCAATTATAATAAACGTAGGGAAATACATGCTTCCCCAACAAAACAGACTTGTGGATGTTTACATACCTGTTTAAGAATCTTTATTTTTTTATTAATCTTTATTATTAATCTTTATTATCAGGAAATGTTTTGCACCTTTAATTGAATTTCAGTCTGTTTCTAAGAATGTGACAGCTATAACCACAATGTAGGTAGGAAGAGGCTAAAGAATTACCATTCATTTTCTGAGAGAAAACATCTAGGGGAGCTTCACATTTAAACAAATCATGATTACAGGCTATTTATGATTTCTCAAAACCCTGTAAACAAGCTCTAGGACACACCCACTCACATCTGTTTGAAAACACTTATCTTCCATGCCAATTAGTTCTTCTTCAGTGTGTGAAAATTGAGCATTCAGTTTAATGCTGCATATGGGAAGACTGAGATCAAACTATAGGACAAACACAGAGTACAACTCTGGAAAATGGAACTCACATCATAGCATTGTTAGCCATTGTCAGCAAGAAGAACTTATTTACACCTCACAGCAAGATTTCACACAAAGGCAGATGCACTTATTAGCACTCTGTATACAATGTGAATCCGCCATATGTTTGTGCTGAATATCATTAAACAGTTCTACACCTTTGACCTTCACCTCTCAGCCAAAGCATTAGTGAATAAGAGCTTATTTTTGATAAAGCAAGGGCTTTATCAAAAATGTTAATGCTGTCTTTAACTAGAAACCACAATTTTCTTTTATAAAATATATATTTTTTCAAAATCTAGTTCTATTTTATAGGTTATTTTAATTAAAATCCCCCAAATAAAAGACACATGGAACATAAGGAGGCAGTAAGTGGAGAGGCCATTGATTCTGAATGATGCGTTCATGGGATAATCTGGTTTCCGCTTTGGCTGGTGCGCAGATGGCGCTGGGAGGGAAAAAATGGGGACAGGCAGGCTATACGGCTGCGGCGGATATTCACCCCTCGATAAGCCCCACTGTACCATGCACCATGTCAACCAGCCGGTCTGTGCATCCCAATCTAGGTACACTCTGTGCTGTCATCAGTAGGCATGGCAGAAGGGAGACAAACAGGTGATCAACCAAGACTGTGCTTGTATCTGTGGCTGGATTGATGTGGGTGTCTGCAGAGGGCTGCAAAGTTATACAGATATGCTGCAAATCATCTCAGAGTAAATAATAAATAGGAGTGAATGGATAGTGATTAATACAAACACAACAGCTGTAAGGTAACAAGCCATGCCTTCCACCTTCATTATCCATTATTACCTCCATCAAGTGGCAGGCAGGCACCAGGAACATTGTGTGTTGCAGACTCAACAGGAGCTCCAGCAGCCAGAGCCCATTCTCAGAACCCTAAATGTTTGCCCTGATTGCTTTTACGTATCCCATATTTTGAATTGGCTGAGTCTGGCCCCCTGCCTGCATGCATTGTTTCAGATACTTGTAATTACCCTTTCTTTCCCTCACGTGCCTCACGTTTGGCAGAAAACCTGCACTAAAGTTATCTCCTGCTCTGAATCTGTGAAACTGGGGGAGGGAAGCATTAGCATCCATACATAAACAAACACATACACCTGCTACCCTTTGCTCTATGTTTAAACAATGTACATAAAGGCAGAAAGAGAAATATACATGACACAGACACAGAAGCACACTGAGATAGAGATAGACAGACAGAAAGAGACAGAGTGAGGGAGGGAGGATTAACTTCTCATCCAGTCTTTGCTGTTGCATAGATTGTAAGTAGCTTATTGCACAAAGCGCCCTGCATGTAACCGGTGCGTTTGCATGATTTGTTTTGGGAGTTTTTTTGTGTGTTGGACATCACTGACCCCATGCAGGCAACTGAGAGCTTTGGGCCTAAAATAGTCAAACTGGAGAATCTGGCAGGCTGTGTGCTCCTAAGAACGCATCCAAAGCTATAAAAGGGCAATAGGTTTACTTCCATACAAACATTGCACTTTAATCCTTGATGTTGAAAACAGTAATTGGGTGCAGTAAAAACTACACTGACTTGAATCACCTGTAGCCATGCACAGCCAGTACCAAACACAATAGTCTGTGCATAAGAAAACCCTATAAGCAGAAAACATGATTTTGAACTTAAATCAGGGGAAAAAGATTCCCTGCTCCCCTGACTCAAAACATAGCATTTATTATGATGTTATTTACTATATTTGTTTTAGTTACTCACAGTAGACCAACAAACAGGTAGTCATTGAGGACAGCTGATTGGCTCAGGAGTCAGCTGGAGTTAAAACGCAAAATGAAGCTGTTGTGATACACAACAAAAATGACCAACAAGTGTAGGATAGGTTGCTATTTGCTTGTTTTTTTTTTTTTTTTTACAGTATTCAGGTGTTTTGATAAATGTAATCCAGTCAGTACAGTTGTGCTGCATGAATTTGAATGAATTTTCCTACTATGGACCCTGATATGTGTGTGTGTGCAAACATTCATAATTCTCTCTGAAGCAACTTCAAAGTAAATTCAAACATCTCGTTCTGATGCCGTCTCAGTGTTCTTAGAAGAACATTCAAATAGCTTGCAGTTTGGTCAAATTTTATATTTCATCTCATTCAGAAGAAGGTTGTACAATATTCAAAGTAATATTAACTACTGCCAGAGGCAACAGTGTGCTATTTGCAAAATGTTTCTGCAGCAAATGGCAACAAACTTCATTTTATATGTATGTAGGGGGAGAGTAACTGCAGTGTCTGTGATACTAGCTCAGTGACTGGAGATATCTCCTCTTTACAGATCAGTTCAATTCAGTTGAATTTGGTTTAGTTTATTTCAGCATAGACAGTGCAATTCAACAAAACCACAGAACACTGATGCAACAGGTGACAGTGATAAGAGAGCAAAACATTTTTGTGCTTATGTCGCTCCTTTTTTAGAAATTATTTCTTCTGACTTTTATTCTTAGCCACATTCCTGCAGTGATAATAAACATCCACCCAAATAATTATTCAGCTCTTTTATGTGGTTTGCCATTTAACATACACAGCATGCATGTGTTTGTGTGAGTTTATAATGTGTGTGTGAAGCTGTGTGGCTCTTACCTGGATACGACGAGGGGCAAAATTAACATTTTCAACATCCTCATAAGCAGCTCTCCTGGAAACTGGAAGTACTTCACCTCCTGCATGTGGCAGAAAAAAAAGCACCAAGTTATACCATACAATCAAAATATGTTATGCAGGTATTTTGCTCTCTATGCTGACCTACATTATTCCTGTTTATTTTCGTGACATCTGTCCTGTAATGTGCTAATTAGTGTGTAGGGGGTTCACTGCACTAACCAGACCATCACCATATTATTGGACAAAAAAAAAAAAGGTTCGATTGTCTGGCGCAGTGTTACAGTTGTTCAATAGGTCTGCCTATTTGCATGATTGAATTCCTCTATTGGAAACTGTCTCAGAAACAGTTAATGCATGACATGGAGTTCCACAGGAATCAATGCCCGGCACTCATGTATTTAGACATATATTATTACACATTTAACATAATTATATTCATGATGCAGAATTTGATGGCCCCTACCAATTACTTCAGTTATCAAATACACTGGTCACATTATCCTGCAAGGTTTTACTGTATTTGACAAGAGAGATACCACTCTCATGTCTGTATGCTAAATATGAAGCAATAGCCAACAGTTGATTAGTTTAGCTTAGCGCAAAGCCAGAAAATAGCCACCCTGACTCTGTTGAAAGGTTAAAAAAACACCTACCAAGACCTCTTAAGCCCTGTAATAATCACTTTATATCTTGTTTGTTTAATCAGCATAAAGTTTAAAAGAGGCTGTTGAAGGCAGCTCTGACTGCTGTAAAGTTCTGCCAGACAGAAATAGAGAACTCACTGTGTTGGTGGCTTTCAGTATACAACTGATTATTAGTGCTCCTATGTAAAGCATGGCCTTGCTACAAAAAATGTTTTTAGATCCACTGAAACAGCTATGAGCCAGACAGAACTCAGAGGTCATCACTTGGCATTAGCTTCCTGCCTCAAAGTCTCAAACTGCCATTAACTTAGAAATAGTGCACTGAAGAATCTTTTTAACCTGTTTAAAAAAAAGACCTTAAAAGTTTATTTTTCTAATTTCCTGTCAATAATGCCTTTTGCCTTTCAGTAACTGAACAAAAGCATGCGTTTTGTGTGTCTGTGTGAGGGGTCGTGAAAGAATCTCTTGCAAGTTGTTAGATGTTGATGGACTGGATGATGAGAAAATTCCTTCAAATAAAAAAAACTATCTGACCAGACACATTTAATAGCGTCAAGACTAAAAGTCTACAGTCATTCTAGTGAACCTGTGGTGCTTTTATCAGTGTGCTCACACTTTTATCAGGTATGTTTACCGTGTTCATTATCTTTGTTCAGTGTGTTAGCGTGATCATTTTGGATATTTGCTAATTAGTACAAAAAACAGGTCAACATTTTATGGAAATCCATCAGTCAGTTGTGGACTGACTGACATTCCTGTCCCTAGAGAATGTACTGAAAAGCATTTATTTGGTATACCCTTTTTCTTCTAACTGCTATTAACCTTTATGTCTTTGACTATTAATGAATACACTGCTATGCTTCATTATGCTTGTCTTTGCCTTAATTTAACATGTTCCTATGGTAGAGGCCAATAAAATATCTGATGTAGCTGATTAATCACTGATTAATGGCCATAATCGAGGACGTCACTGCATTTGTAACTCAGTATATTATAATTAAAAATGATGCTACTGTGTGCCACTCTTGAGCCAGACACAATGTCAAACATATACTTTATTATTAAATTACAACATTTCATTGTGGTTCATATTAAGAGCATTCAGTTGCAGTGTGTATTGACATGACATAATTATATAATGATAATCACTCTTCAGAAATGGAGCCATGTTATAGCCCAAATCTACATGTATGCCTTTGATTAAAAGCTATGAATATTGAAAATAAAGGCTTGTTCATTGAATGACTGGAGTGTCCTCATCTGTATTCATGTCTGAGCTCTCGCCTACACAGAAGCTGCTGTATGGAGTTTCACAGTCTGTGTGGTTGTCTTTTATCTTGTGTAACCACGTTTCAGTTAGTTTCAGTTTTCGTTAGTGATGCATGATCACTAAGGTTGCGCTTTACCTGTGATGTCAGCTGTATGCATTCGAATCCTGCTTGCCTACAATTCATACATACTTTACATTTTAATAATTTTAATATTTTTTGAATTTCCTTTAATTGATAGAGACAGCTGAAGAGTGACAGGAAAGGAGGGAGAGAGAGGGGCAGCAAGGACTCAGTATATGGGGCTCTACCAGGTGAGCTATCCAGGTGCCCCACAAATAACTTTATTGGTTACTTTATAGACTCTATTGGTTTCAGTTCATGGACAATGTGGCAAACAGCTACTATTGTATCAAGATACAGTTGTGACCAGAAAGTGTTTTAAGTACTGAAAATCAATCATCAGAGATCATAAAGGAGTCAGATAATGTATATTGCAATATCATTACATATAAATATATTTAAATCATAATTAATAGTGTCCATATTTGTATTATTGTTTCTTTTTTCCAATGGGTTCGATTTGATGCAGGGGACAGGGCTCAAAACATAGAAGAATAGGATGGATGGCATCAGAAAGTATGTGGCTACCAGGAGGAGATATCTTAAATCCTGGGTTGGACTGAGCTCCACAACTTGCCATTAAAATGGTACAAACCTCACTGAGCTATGAGGTTACCCATCCAGGCCATATATTCTTTCATATATGTGGTCATATGAACTAATAATTATCTTACCATGGTTTTGAGGTTCTGGCCTGCAACTTCACTGTTCAGTCTCGCTGATTTAACCTCATTTACAAAGCTCTGATGTACGCTACCTGCACAGCAACAAATGACAAAGTCATGAGAGACAAAGTCAAGTCAGTAACTACCTGGTGAATATTTAGAGTTCCAATTTCCAACGGCACTGTGAGACTGCTGTGAAACAATGATAAAACAACTTTATTTCTTATTCACTGCTTTGTCCTTGCTAACGTAGCTCCCTCATTTAATTCACTCTCTAGCTCGCTCGACCACTGCTGCTCTAAGTCTCTCGCTCCTAGCAGCTAAAGTTGGTGCATACCAAAACAGAGCTAAAAAGATATAAAATACTGAACGTTGTTGCTGGCCAAAAACGTGACAAATCCGGTGGCAGGGGTCAACAGAAAAACAAAATAAACGTTGGAAATAAAAATTTAAGTGCAGCACATCTGTGCGGTGATATGACGGAGGAATAAAAGCTTTTTGATTCTGTTTTGGAGTGAGAGAGCTTTTAGGCCAAATGGCTGTGTGAGCATGTGTTGACAGGAGGTGAGGGGGCATTTGTATGTTTTGTGTTGTTGTATGTCAGTCTGTGAACATAGCATTCAGTGTGTATTTGTATTTGTGTGTGTTTATGTGTATTGTGCAGGAAGGACAAGCTGTAACTGAGTCCTGAAGTCTGCTAACAGTGGAACAAACAGTGGCTGTTTCTGCCATGGATGTTTGGTACATTCATAGGCACACACACACACACACACACACACACACACACACACACACACACACACACACACACACACACAAAGTCCATGAGCTGGTATATGTACATGTAATGTGTACACAAACAGACAATTATAAATGCATGAAGCATGTATTTAAATACGTGCATCAGCTTTTATTTAAATCCATGTCTGTCTGAGTGAAACAATCCAGCTTTCAGTAATCTTACACTATTAAATGTTAAATGGTTTTGTGAATACGTGTTGTAATCTACATTTTTTAAATTAAAATTACCTTTTAAATGCCATTTTCTTTAAACCTTTTGTACATTAAGTTTTATGCTGTTTAATTTTCTTAACATTGTTCTGTTTTTCCATTTAGTCTGCCATTTTACTCCTTTCAATGTATTTAATTTATTCTGTTATCTTACTGACCTATATGAAGGACTTGGAATTACCTGTGTATGAAATGAGCCACACAAATACATTTTCCTTGGCTTCTTATAGTGTAAACACTTAATCAATGTCTTCACTTCTTCTTTTGAGTCTGGGCACAAAGTAATGAAGATTTTTTTAATTAACTGAAAGTCAGAAATATCAACAACAATTAACTTTCATATTTGCTCAGCTATACTGATTGAAAATCATGTTCAGATTGACTGAACCATGTGGTCTAATCAGTTTGCATTAATAAGACTCTGCACTTTTAACCACTTTCACAAAAAAAAAAAATGCTTGTGCATATAAAGCATAGAAAGTTCCCCAAGGCCAACACATTTCATGAATATAAATCCAAGCATGCACCATAACACACAAAAACTGCTCCAAATTATTTCACCTTGAATTCATGAATGCAGTGTGAGCATATCTATCCTCTTCTTTGTTTTCACCTTCACCTATCAGCTGCCACACAGTCGACTCTAATTCACCACCACTCTCTTCATCTACACTAAAAATTGAAAACTTTTTTTTTTTGGTGAAGAAACAAAGATGGAGCAGCAGTGTGCGCCTACAACTGAATTATCCTGCTGTCTGTAAGGGATAGAAATCCTCTCCATTTAACTGTTATTTTAAAAAAACAACAAAATTCTTTGGTTTTTATATAGTGACGATGAATTGTTCACCTCATGGTCAGGGTTGAGGACTGTTGAGAGGCACTCCTCAGGCAGCTAATATGGTATTCTCTTTTTTCCTGCTGAGTGAGTAAAAATTGCCATGCACAGCAGGCTCAGTGTGGGCAGATTTTCTAACCTGTTGACAACAATCCCAGCTCACTGCGTTTGTGACAGAGACACAGAAATAAGCTTTGTTTCTCCATGGAAAACCGCATTCTCCTCATTTCAACCCTCAGTGACTGGCAATGACAAGCAAACTAGGGCTGCTTTGTGTGTTTTACCACCATAAATTAATTAATTATACTGTTAGTATACTACTAATACAATGATTGATCTCTGAAGTGCCCTAAAATCAAGTCAGATCCAACCCAGATCCCAAGTCATCAAATACTGTAGCTGGGTCAGTGGTACTTCAAAATACGACACTGTAGGTAGACGAACCCTCTAGCGTCAGTTATGGATGCACCCACAATCAAAGTCAGGTGATGTAATATATAAAGAACTACAAAGTTGGGATATGGAGGTGATGGGGTGGATGGATGGCTCAAACAAACACAGGATTTTTAGTAACGTACATAAGTTACATCAGGTCCCTTACTTAAGTTACATTTTATTGATGCAGATAATTTACGTCAGGTATGTAACGTAATTTACAACCTTTTCCTAATGCTAACCAAACTGCAACAACGTTATAAGTGTAACCAGGCGTTGCATACTTATTTTTGAGCTTTGAAAACTTCAGCTGATATGCATAGTCAAACATTAATGGCAACACTTACACATATTGTACACACGCCAACTCCAACAGGAAAAGGAAAAAAACTTTAGTTAGACACATGCTTTCCCAGTAATTCAGTCTTTGAATTTGTAGCAATCTGTTTTTTTCATTTCTTTCTTACAATAATTTCAGTCATTATCTGACACAAAGTGCTTAGAGAAATAATCACCCAGTTGCCTGCAGAAGTGATATTTCTCTATTTATCTGCAGCATTTAGTTTAGCGTTCTCTGAATTCCAACTATTCAATCTTTCTGTCTTGTGTGAATTATATAAGTGAACACGAATGGTATGTTGTCGACTTGATGTCTCTGTGAGTGATTGACAACTAATCTCTCCACCGACAATCCCTTTACATTGATGCACTGAGTCCAGCTGAGAGGCTATGGGCAAGCTGAGCGACTGATGAGATACTGTTTCAATTTTTAAAAAAGCAGAAAAGATTTGGGGATGTCCTTTGCAATTTAAATGTACCTGGGGAAGGAGATAAATTGGCTTTTGGAAGTCTGAGCTTAAGCTAACCACTATAGTGTAGTACTTTCATTCATTCTCTCATCAAAAAAACAGTCCCTGGAGGCTTTATAACGCTGTATCTCTTTGACACTCTTTTGTTATTGAAGTGTGAACAGTGCAGATAAAGAACCTTGCGTCAGTCACTTAGGTGAAACTGAACAGCCCTCAACAAAGTCCATTCCTCATTACATCTGTGTGAGGCACAATCCACTACTTCATTACATCGCTCCGTCTTTCACTTTAATGGTCCAGGTGTGGTCAATTGTCAGATGGAAGAGTGGCTGTTTTATAAAAAAAAGGTGAAAATGTTATTATTTAAAGTAAACGTGTGTGGGGCCTAGTGTGTACTGTGAATTCATCGCTCGGTGGGGTCAATCATGTCTAGCTCAAGGTTAAGGTAGAATTTGGGGTTAGGCATTTGGTAGTTATGGTGAAGCCTCCAGGGACTGAATGGGAGACCACACAGTGTCCTCACAAAGATAGTAGGGCATATTTGTATGTGTATGTGATTGTGAAAATGTTGGCGTGTATCTCATGGAGTGTAGGTAAAGAGGCGCATGCAGGAAACAGGGAATTAGGTAATCTCTTGTATTAGGAGTTGTGGCGTCTGAATCCATCTTGGCATTTAAGAAAGAGACAGGGAGTACACACGGATACTTGAGGCAGGAGATAAGGTAGTCAGGCAGGTGAGCAGGTGGGTAGTGTGAGGGGGAACCATGGGTCACAATTACCACTGGGTATTTTAACCAACTGACCTGCTCAGAAAGCTGCTTGCCTCTGAGGAAGAAGCCCAGCAGGCAGCCAATGACCACGGCCAGCACAGACAGGATGAGCAGTCCGTTCTGCTTGCAGACATTCTTCACCCGCCCCCACACTTCATCCAGAGCCACTGCCATCCTCCTCCACCACCTCCTCCCCCTGCTTGTCCTGGTCCTGACTGCAACTTCCCTCAGAGAACACCACGAGACCAAGCCCCCTCTTTTACCACTTATTCAGCCATATAGAGACAACAGCCGCAACCACACTGGAAGAAATAGCACAGTGTGGACACAGCAGATGGGGGCGAGATAGATGGATGCAGACTGCTGAAGGAGAAGTGGGATTAATGGGGAATAGAAACAAAGATAAAGAACAAGTTTAAAAGAAAAAAAAAAGGTTTGATTTCGTCAACAGAGGCGGGTGAAAAGTCAAATTTGAGAGGTAGTCGTCCAAAAATAAAGCACTTCAGGAGTTTCTGTGTTCCTTCTCCGAGCTGCTTCCTTGATTATTCCACATGAGACTAAGAGCATCACCCAGACACACTCTCTGTCAATCTCCGTCTATCTGTGTCTGTCTCCCTCTCTCTGTCAGTCACCTCCCTCTCTGTCTCTCTGCCCCCCCCCCACACACACCACCACCAGCCCATTGCTCCTGATGGCCAACAGGGGGCTCTGCGACAGCTGGTGGTATTGTCATCAGGGTTAATACTACGATCCTATTAGGCCACGTTGCACGACTCAGATCTAAGGCAGGATTAGAGAGCTCTCTGAACAATTGGACAGCGGATTGTTCCAGATAACAAAAAAAAGGAAAAAAAAAGAGTTAAAAAAATTGCACAACAAGTGACATGAGGTAAATAACAGAGCAAAACAAAAACTGGGACTTAAAGTTGAGTTGTTGACCAGCTTTCATGTTTGACAGAAGTACAGTACACATGACTGAACATAACGATGACGACTCTGTATGTGTGCACACATAAATAAACACAGTCAATCTTCAGATGATTACTCATTAATCATAATTCACGTTATCAGGCACAAACACACGCCATCGCATACATACTGCATGTAATTTAGAATCTTTAATAAACAAAGAAGGTCGGGAACATTTATTAGAGCTTTTAAACACTGTGTGGGAAGCAGTCCATTACATACACAGTGCCACAGGTTGTGGTATTTAAGTGTATTTAAATGATGTGGTGATAATACTAACTAACACAGAGCACACAGCAGTAAAGGAGAAGTAAAACATATCACACTTCCACAGTGAAGTGAATAACACTGATTATCTGGTTATCAGTGGGTGGGGTATATTAGGCAGCAAGTGAATATTTTGCCCTCAACGTTGATGTGTTAGAAGCAGGAAAAATGGGCAGCGTGAGGATTTGAGCGATATTGATAAGGGCCAAATGGTGATGGCTAGACGACTGGGTCGAAGCATCTCCAAACCTGCAGCTCTTGTGGGGTGTTCCTGGTCTGCAGTGGTCAGAACTCATCAAAAGAGATCCAAGGAAGGAAAAGTGATGAACTGGAGACAGTTGTCATGGACGGCCAAAGCTCATTGATGCACGTGGGGAGTGAATTCTGGCCCGTGTGGTCCGATCCAACAGATGAGCTACTGTAGCTCAAACTGCTGAAACAGTTAATGCTGGTTCTGATAGAAAGGTGTCAGAACACACAGTGCATCACGGTTTGTTGGTATGGAGCTGCAGAACATTCTGACCACCTGGGCATCCTGGTGCACCATCATGGCTGATCGGTATATAGATGGTCTCTTCAATTTCTACTTAAAGGTCCAGTGTGTAACATTTAGGAGGATCTATTGGCAGAAATAGAATATAATATCCATTGGTATGTTTTCATTTGTGTGTAATCATCTTTTTATGTTATCTTAGAATGAGCCATTTTTATCTAGAGAGGAAGAAGGTCCTCTTCTACGGATTCCATCATGTTGAAGTACCATATTTCTACAGTATCACGGAATGGACAAACAAATAACTGGCTCTTTTTCCGTGTTTTATTTTTATTATTCTATTAGAGACTGAAGGCACTGTGAATATACCTTCTGTTCAGGTCTTCAAAGTTTAATCTTAAATAATTAAGATATCAATTTAATTTAGTTTTCTTCACTGAAATGAACAAAATAATGAGATATAGGCTTACTTTGTATAGTTTTAAAGTTTTTTTACACCCCTTAAAATCAAGAGTGCCTCGCAACCCCCTGTGAAGCTTTGGCAAGCCTAGTCCCCAGGTTCGGAACCATTGCTTGCGTGGTCAGAAGTATTGAAAAATGAAATGAAATACTCACTAAAATAATCACAGACAACTAAACATTGCAGTTCAATAGGACAGCCTACGGAATGAAGGTATTCAGTGACCAGCAGACAGATCTAAACAACAACCAGGTGATTACTGAAAGACGTTTAAAACACTTAAATTAAATAAGTCTGGAGTTAGAGACACAATTCATTATTTTAGCAGAGGCTAGCCTCCACCTCACACCTCCTACACCTGTGCCAAGCTAACATCCTGGACCAGTCCCAGTTCACTAAAAGTAATCCCATTAATTGTTCATACACATTACAATCCATCACATTACTGAACATCTATGACCAAGTTGGATGTGCCTACATATGGCATATGCAGTACATGCTTGTGTTTGGAGTAGTCTATGTGTCTATGTTGCCATGTACAAACGACATACAGATGATGTGTGGATATTATCTGGAAAAGAGATGTGTATAATGTCCACTGTAACATAAATGGGGCCTTAGATTCTATCTACAGTACTGATCGATGGTATGGTAGTGTGGTACACATTACCTTAATGACATAATCCAAAGACCAAAGACCAAAGGCTAAAAGAGATAAAAAAGGGATTGATGCAGTAAGGTAGGATCAATACAGTGAAGACGTCAGCCTCTATTACACATGCTGCTAACACTGGCCTGATGTACCTTCAGGGAAAGAAAGAAAATAAATTAGTAACAAATGAGCACAAAGACAAAGATAAATGCATGTCTATTATTTTACATGTGAAAATTACTTCAATTAAATATGGCATGCACATGTACACATACATAAACTCTGAATATATTTACAGTACAAGCAAGCAATCAGCCTTCATTTCAAATAAAAACATCCACTTAACCAGTCCGTGGGGTCTCATACAGCAACAGCAGGCACATACTTTATCTGACAATCATTATTCAGAGCATGTCCCCCTATTATTGATTATTGATATGGGGTGCAGAGTCCGGTCGTCTACCATATCTCCCCTAATTGTCTTCATTCCCCAAACCTACTTGCCTTTGGTTTTAATTCACATCCAGGGAAATCATCTCCCACTGAGAGGCTTGTCTATGAAAATTGAAATGATACTTGATTGAATCTGCTGTAAATTCAATCTGAACTGTATGACCACAATTACCCTGTCTGGCAGAATCTGGTGAGGTCTATTATAAATTGTTATGAAACTGTCATTAGCAGCAGACTTGCTGGGAGAGAAGTTGGTCAGTGTTAAAATGATAATAAAACCAATATTAAAATGTAAAGCTTCAAATTTGGGAAATCCAGTCATGTTGTTGGCTTTAACTGGGGAGCCATCAGTGTATTAAACCTGCACTGGTTATAATCTAAAACTAGACATTAACTCTCCTCATTCTTGGTCTCTTAATTCAGTCTCTAAGTTATAAGGGCAAGGAAAAAAAGTAATTTTACAAGCAATGGAAGGACCCCTGTGCATTCACCCCAACATCAGACCTCAATCACTGTGATGACATCAAAGTCCTGCACAATGCAAACAGCTTATTTCATTTCCATTAACTACAATGCCCTACGTGTGACACATGGGAAAAAGGCTCTCCTGTTGTTAACATAACAAGCTTTCATATGATGGGTAATTTAACTCTAATTGTCCCAGATGCGACGTCTGGTGTGAGGTTTGTGAGGCTGCTGTGTAATCCCTGACTGGACTCCAGGATGTGCTGTTGTCTGTGGCTAAAAATGTGGACTCTGCATGCAGAAGGTCTTGAATGCTAATCGCTAGCAATTTCTGTGAGCTGCAGAAAATGTCTTTATAAAATAGCACCAGCCACTTTAGTGACTGCTCCTTGTGGAAAATGCAGCCTCTACAGCTGACACATTGCAGTTTCCACAGCAGTGTCTGTGATAAACCACAGGACATGGGAGTCTCACTCAAAATCAAAATGCTGTAAGAGGAGTCTGCAAGGCACAATGGGCACAAAGAATAGTGGGATGGATATTGATGAATGGATCCCAGGTGCTATCTTGTCCTTTAGCTCACTGGGTGAGAAAATAGAACGTCCGTATTTGCCATTGTTCGAGGATGACCCAATACACTCAGACTCTGACCTGGTGGTTATCCTGAAATGCAAAGTGAGAAAACAAGAGCTTCTTCAGTATTAGAAAATTATCTTTCAATTACATTTCCTAATCTTACCCCTGGAGTTTCACTTCAACATTTTTCCTGTCATCAGACAAAGATGTTGCAAACATGTAATCCTTTTTTCTGTTCTTTCTTGAAAGATCTCAACGATTGTGGATTTGTTACCCCTGTCCTGTGAAAACCATGTATTTCCATAACTTTCATGAACTAAGAAAAAGAGCTATATTCTTTTGCTTTGTGACAATTTATTTTAGCTAATCCAGTAGGCTTAATAAACTGTTTATTTAATTCAAACCAGCAATAATCATTGTTGCTGGTGACTCGTGGTCAGCAAAACCAGGTTGTGAAAACCTTTTAAGTTGATATGGTGAACTTGCTATCCAACAGTTTCACATCCAGCTGTATGGAGCAACATTATCATTCATTTGAAGTCATGTTTTGGCCACCTGGTGAATATAAGTCCAATGTTCACTCCCTTTTAACCAACTCCCAAGGGAAATATCTGCCTCTATATCAGCCACCAGTAGTTAACTTTGTCCGTCTGCCGTTTGGTACTGAGCAGGTAGTACACAGTAGGTGTATCTGTAGCTTTTTTGCTGACAGCAGCTGCCTGCTGCGGCGGAAAACCACACCATGAGAGCGGAGAGAGTGAGCTAAAATTCATGAAAGTTCTGAAAAGCCGAGGGGAGCTGCAGATTCAAGTGATAAATCTCTGCAGTTCCATCATTACGACCTCCTTCACATTGTCACATTGTTTTCACTTGTTGTTTCAAACTTAATTTTTTTTGGGGGGGCTTTTTATTGCTTTTATTTGATAGAATAGCTGAAGAGTGACAGGGAAGTGAGGAGAGAGGGGAGGAGATGCAGCAAGGGCTGCAGGTTGTAGTGGAACCAGGGCCACCATGGTAAGGACTCAACCATGTTACTACCCAGAGGTGTAAAATTTTAACTTTTAATTGAAACACATTCACTGACAAAAGATGGAAAATTATTTCTTAGTCCCATTTTAGCTTTTAGAAGACAACTAGAGCTCAGGGATGTCATCAAGGTGTGACATGATGCATTGTTTTCAGTCAGTGAAAAATACAGAAAGGAAAGTACCCATTAGAGTGAGAAGAAGAGCAGCACAGGGGAGGCGATGCTGGG